AAAAACGGTGAATTAGTATGGGATACGGAGCTGCGGCGCTCGCTTGCGTGCGGCGCCCGCTTACCGGATACGTTAGTGGCGATGATAGTAGCGTGATAATTGGTGACTATCTCAACAGAGCGAGTATTCAAAGGCTGACCAAGCGCGGAAGGTTGAATCGTTACTAGTTCCCTATCTCTACAAGAAAGACCATTCTCTTCACCTATCAAGAGAGAAATATTTCAGAGTCCACCCTGTTACCAAGATATCCAGCGCACTGGGAAGATCAAATGCGGACAACTAAGCTACGGCTGTTACCTACGGAGGTCCGAGAGATTACTCGGCGAGGTGCGCGATGAGAACTGGAATCTGCCACCAGGAAATACATTTGCGTTTAAAATCAAACCATTGACCATACCTAAACGTAGTACTCCGTAGCTAGGAGTCTAGATCGAGTAAGAAGATTAACCGGGTAAAGTAAAGAGGATCGACGCGGGCCGCGACTAAAGGCGGAACGTCCAGGCAGAAAAGGCGAAAAGCACCAAGAATACCCGAGGGCGGTGAGAGCCCTACAGCCAGTCAGCGGGGGCGAAAAGAACGGCATAATAAACCTTCGACCTTCGATTCTTCCCTTCATTTCTCTACCCTCCAACGCTCTCCTCCACCACCTTTCTGCACCCCCCACCCGCAACCCTCCTCCCCCCCCCTTCAGTCTTCCTTGTCTCACTTTTTGCTGGCATTGACTTGTCAAGCATCGAGGATTCTCTGGGAGACCCGACTGCTTCTCCAATTTGTCTTCGTTGTCACTCAACTTCGTCGGTTTCTTTGTGTGCGCCGGTCTTTGCTGCGTCAGACAAACAACATCTCGCCACGCATCACCCGCTGTTCTAGAACACTACCAATTCGGTCCGTTGTTATTATACTCGCTCGTCCAGTCTCATCCGTTTGGCACACATTAGTCCAGACGTTATCTCTACAAAACCCACCTGAGTTTCTCGCGCCGTCCCCACCGGTTTTACCGTCTCTCGCCGCCGGCTTGCATCCCACTCAGTACATTTCAAGAGACCGGATTCGCTGAAGTCCTGGAACATTGCATCTGAACGCGCACGTTCCACCTCGACCGTGACTTTTTTTGACATTAGAATTTCCACAAAACAGAAGGTTTAACAAGACTCAAAATGGCTGCTCCTACACAGCTTGCGTGTATGTTTTAGCCTCGTCTCCTTCGCGCTTCCCTCCCTTCCCTTGACTCGAGTAGGTTTCGAGGTGATTTCGAGTCATTCGTGTCCAGGCACCGGTTATGATCGAGGATAAATCGCTAATCTGTCTTGAATTTTCGCAGACCGAAGTGTTAAGGGCATTGGCATCTTTGATGCTGATCCCGTTTATGCGCCTTTGTCGGGGTTCGAGAAGTATGCACGGCCTCGTATTTGCGTTAGATCTAATCGATCTTGTACATGGATAGTGGACTAACTTGACTGTCCCCAGACCTGAGGGGAACCTCCGTTGCAGTGCCTACTCGCCATGCGGTCGGTATTTTGCGTGGGCGTCTCAAGATAAGTATGTATACTAGTGGATCTTCCTGACGCGAAAACCCTGTGACTAACCGGCTTGTACTAGGGTTACCATCAATGATCCTTCCGTCGGTCATATCATCACGAACATCCCCGCCGACAACGTTTTTGAACTGGGATTCTCGCCGCTCGGAACCTACCTGATTACCTGGCAGCGCCCTACCAAGGATGCCAACGGTGACGCCGTCAAGAACCTGAAGGTTTGGAAGGTGGTGGAGACGCCTGCCGATAGCAATGGAGACGAGCACACGATCGTCGGCAGCTACGTTCAGAAGTCGCAGACAGGCTGGAATCTTCAGTACACGTCTGATGAGCGTTTCTGCGCTCGTGTGGTCACCAACGAGGTCCAATTCTATGAAAGTGGCAACCTGTCTAAGGTTTGGAACAAGCTACGCGTGGAGGGAGTGGCCGACTTTGCCCTCTCGCCCGGAAAGAACCAAGCTGTTGCCGTTTTCATTCCCGAACGCAAGGTTAGTGGTGAACCATGTTACGATGGCTCGTGCCAACATGTGGCTGATTTATCTCGATTTGCTCTTAGGGACAACCGGCCGCCGTCAAAGTGTTTATGGTGCCGCAGTTCGGAGCGCCCGTTTCGCAGAAGACCTTCTTCAAGGGCGACAAGGTCCAGCTGAAGTGGAATTCCTCTGGCAACACCTTGATTGTGCTTGCGCAGACCGATGTCGACAAGTCTGGCAAGAGTTACTACGGCGAGACCACGCTTTACCTTCTGGGTGCTAGCGGAGGGTTTGATTCTCGCGTGGACCTGGGTATGTGGCTATCGAACCCTAATGGCATCCCTGCACGAGGTACTAACTTATAATAGACAAGGAGGGCCCCATCCATGACGTGACCTGGAACCCCAATTCGAAAGAATTTGGCGTTGTGTACGGATACATGCCGGCCAAGACCACCATTTTCAACTTCCGTGGTATTCCCCAGCACAGCTTCCCTCTGGCTCCTCGAAACACCATTCAGTTCTCCCCCCACGGTCGGTTCGTTCTCGTGGCTGGCTTCGGAAATTTGGCGGGCCAGATGGATCTGTACGACCTTGAGAAGAACTACTACAAGATCGCTACCGTGGAAGCGTCGAACGCGAGTGTTTGCGAATGGTCCCCTGACGGCCAGTTCATTCTGACTGCCACCACCAGCCCTCGATTGAGAGTGGACAATGGCATTCGTCTTTGGCATGTCAGCGGGGCGTTGATGTACAACGAGGAAATGACCGAGCTTTACGATGTGTGCTGGAGACCTCAGTCGACCACTCAGCACCCTCTGACCGATCCGTTCAACCCTCTCCCTACTCCCCACCCCTCGGCTGCCGCGTATCTCAGCACCCGGAAGGCCCCCGTCAAGCCGGCTGGTGCGTACCGCCCTCCCGGCGCGCGGGGTCAACTGACTCCCCTGGCCTTCAAGCGAGAGGACCAGGGCGGTGCCGCCTATGTTCGGGATGGCGCCAACGGCCTTGCTTCTCTGAACGGATTCGGAAAAGCCCGGAGACGCGAGGTGCCGGGTGCCGAGGAATTCCTTCCTCCGGGAGCCGCTCCTGGGGGAGGCGTTGCTCTTCCCCCCGGTGCCGACCAGCCCGAGAAACTCTCCAAGTCGGCCGCGAGAAACAAGAAGAAGCGTGAGGCGAAGAAGGGCAACCCCAACGGAGAGGACGGAGAAGCGGCACCTCCGGCACGCAGCCCGGACCGCCGCGGCGACAAGGGCCACGAGCGCAGCCGCTCCAAGGCCAAGAACGGCAACAACCAAGCCAACGGCGCTGCGCCTCCGGCCAAGGCGAATGCTAATGCGGCTGCCAATGCTGCCGCCGCTGCCGCCGCCGCTGCCGCCGCCGAGGAAGCCGCAGGTGCCCCCACTGCGCAGGAAAAGAAGATCCGCGGACTTTTGAAGAAGATCCGGGCGATCGACGAGCTGAAAATGCGCCTTGCAGGCGGGGAGAAACTGGAAGACACGCAGATGAAGAAGATCCAAACCGAAGATTCGGTGCGCAAGGAATTGAATTCCCTCGGATATACTGGATAGAAAAGAGGGAAAGGAGGAAAAGACCTGGTTGTTTTTTAGGATATATTCCCAGGCCGCTCTCACTGCATTAGAATTTCCTGTCTGGATCTTGTTTGTATGTCAATCTTGTCTGCCTTTTCTCTATCTAGGCTGTACATATAGTCTGCCAATTCTGTTTCTACCTTTTTGGTTCTTGCTCTTGTCAATTCCTTATATCATCTGATGTCTATTAGAGCCAGGTGGTCCTCTTTCAAGAAACCGTCTCTGGTGACAGAGTTGGGATATATGTGTGCTGTATATATACATTGGATGAACAAAAAAAAAGACCAATACATATGATAAAAATATCGACCTGTCCTCCAAATCTCAGTAAACTATATAATTAAAATCCATCTGTAATACCCCCCTCTCGATCCCTCTCCTGTCTCTCTAAATTCGCCCTCCACCACCACCGATGCGTCTCGTCCATCTCGTCCTGGGGATCCTCATGCCACGGCTTCTTCGCAAAAATATAATGCACGTTCTTGACGCTCTCATCCCGCCAAATCGCATCATGCACCCCTTCCCACCGCAGCGTCTTCAGCGCATTATACACATACGGCAGCGCCACCCATCGCCCGCGGAATACGTCCGATAAGAGCTCCTGGTCCGGGAAGTCGTAGTGGTCGGTCCGTGACGGGGTGTTCATGGTATCAGTGATTAAGGAAAAGGTGCGCGTGGAGGGCACGACGACCAGGAGGCCGCTGTTTAGCATCCCCACACCGGTTGAGGACGGTGCGCCGTGGGTTTGGGCCTCTGTGGGGTTGCTGTGTTGGCTTGTGAAGGCGCAATTGGACGGGATCCTATAATCTTCCTTGTTAGCGATATGGTGTGGAGTGGTTGGGACATAACAGCCCGTGTAAGATCCCATATCAATCGACAGCCGAAAGAACTACACCCCAGGAATCACAGGATGAATGGATGGGGGAAGAGAAGAATGCATACCAAGTCTTGGGATAATGTCCCTTCTTCAACGGATTACACGCGCAAGCATGACTAGCCGCAAAGACCCTCGTTCCTTCTTCACCTGCACCTTCACCATCCAACTCCAACTTCATCAACTCATCCATATCCCTCCTCACCAACATATCCCCATCCAGGAGTACAATACGCTCATACTGCGTCAACGAAAACACAACCAGCTTCGTCCACGTCTCCTGGAACCGCGGATCATGCGCATACACTCTATTACTGTTCCCGGGCTGGAGGTTCGGAACATGTTGTGTCTCGATACCCCGCGCGCGCAGAGCAGCGAGGCCTTCGGCGGGGAACGAGGAGGTGTAGAAAGCGACGAATGGGTAGGCGGTGTTGCTGGCGCGGAGGGAGTGCGAGAGCGTGAGGAGGCCGGGGAGGTAGTCGAGGTTGGTTATTAGGGAGGCCCAGACTGGGTGAGATCTGCTTTTTAGTGATTTGTTTCTTGTTCTATGGGGTTGTTGGGTTGGGTATATTGAGAGGTGGGGAGAGAAGCGGAGGAGAGGGGTTTATATTGTGCGCGGGATGTGGATGGGGATGGGATGAATTGACATACTGCGTTTTGAAGAGTTGGATTGAGTCATTTTGAAGGCTGTAGGAACAGAGGGAGAGAGAATTGGAATAGTTGCTTGCTTTATCACCGCATCGTCGGCTGTTCACGGAGGTAGGAGAATCAATTTAATAACGAAGGCGGGGGACCTCCGATCGCGATGCCTTTCCGATCTTATCAGGGTGATTATGTAATGGGATCTAATCTCTCCGCATGGAGTGGGATCACGTGCGAGGCTGCATTGTATAGTGTCGCCGCGGATATACACTAGAAATAAGCCCTTACTACTAAGGGTTGACCCTTTTTAGTGTAGCGGTAATTTTTCTGCCACATATAGATTCAAAACTACTAGTCTTGTCTGATTGCACACCAATCTACGCGGCATAGATAGCAATTAACTCATACAATCAAGAATCCTACAATATGTTCCCATTCACTATCAGTGTCCATACCCCCTCTAGCTCCGAGTTGGCTGTTGTCCGTCTCCTTGATACAGCCATTGACGTAGACTTTGTCCAGGACAAACCGTGAGCCCCCCGCAGTTGAACAACAGGGTTAACAGGGTCCATCCGGCCGAGGCAGGGACTGATCAACGACAGCACAAAGGGACAGGACAGACAGGTGATCCAACAACGTGTTAAAAGGGTTGACGGTATCAACCGCCATGTGGTTCAACAGAGTCCAGCGAACTGGAATTGACGGGAAAGGCTCAAGGCCCATTGATATATCGCATCCGATACAGAGCTTATCCCTTCCGGAGAAAAGGATTTCAAGGCATGGTCCTCGCCTTGCGCTCCACCTTGCAGCGCGAATGTGAAAGCATGAGAAAGAAAGAAAAAGGGATAAAGGAAGAGCGGCGAAATGGGTTGGAAGATTTTCAAATTTGGGTATCTTTGGATCAGTCACGTTTCCATGTTTCATCTTACATTCTCAACAATTCTCTAAATGCAATATCCCATAGACCCCAAGACTCACCGAGGAATACGTTCGAACGACGGTTCGCGGTCCAATTATCACAACGCATGTCACACGCAAGAAAAGGACCATCTCCTGTTGTTTAATTCAAAGTAACGAGCCTATCTCACATACGCGCCCCGGAAGTCAGAACTAGGCTGGCAGATGGTGTTGGTCTTGACTTCAACCGAAACACTATGAAAAGATCCGTGTTCGCTTGGTAGGGCTTCCTGTGCGCAAAGACCGATTGCCACCTGTCATGCCGTTTAGAAGTCGTTCCATGCCTTCCACGTCAAGTTCGCCGCGGCGAAGCATGACCTGGTCGGTTTCCGCGGTTGGCGTGTGACTCGTGGACAGCCGAGAAATAGGGACCGGCTCGGGTTCTCTCAACCTGGGAGCGAGGATCATGATCCGATGTTCGGCGGTAATAAGGATGTCGAAGCTGTCGCCCTCAGACTCGCGGGTGTGGCGGGAGGTAGCGGGAATATGCCCGATTCCCTTCAGGCGTTCACCCATCAAGGAGATATCCTGAATGGCAGAGACTCGGCAGCGGTTGGACGCATCGAAAGTTCCGGTAGCATTCACAGCGTTTCGCCATAGCGACAGGAGACTCGGGATTGCCGCAGCCTGGTTGCCATGACGCAACAAAATTGATTCGTCGGGCAATGAATCCCGATAGGAGTTGGTCTGATAAACCGAGATCTCGCCGCATAACGATGGGTTGGTCGAGCCGACTGTGGCGCCCTTCAATAGCGTATCTTCGCGAACACGTTTAGTGGAAGGTGTCAACGGCGCAAACTTTGGCCTCTGTTCAACAAAGGAACCGTTGGCCTCAGCCCGACTTCCCCCAGGTAGTGGACTCAGAATACGACCACTGACCGAAAACGCAGTCAGCGAGCCGCCTGTTACCCCCTGTACGCTGGACTGACGCTGAAGAGGCCCCTTAGCGGTTCCTGGTCCGGCTCCTTCGATATCCCACACCCCCCAATCGCCATCAGCCATAAGGACCATCACAGCACGCCCTCCAAGAACCCATTCCGCGTGGATTATAGTTTTGCGCTGTGCGGAAATTTGCTCGAATCCAGGGTAGAGAGTGATAAGCCACTTGCCTTGCGTCTCGGATGTTTCAAAATCGCTCTGAGGACCGGATGACCGTCGCGAGGCCTTGGATGGCTTCGTGGAGAAGCAGGAATAGATCTTGACACATCCGGTGTGAAACGTAACGAGCAGTGTGGAGTGCCTAGGGGATGGATAGGAGGATGGGTTGAACGAGATGCTCTTGGCCGGGGTTGGGAGGTAGCGACGCCGAGTCTCAATTTCGTCATCACAAAATCGGTAGACTCCGGATTCTTCCACGACGGGGATGCGATGTAATATAAGCAGACCAGACGATTCCGCGGAATGGGTTGCTACAAGGAGATCCCATCTGCCCGTCTCTTTGGGTCGAGATGCAGCTCTGCTTCGCGTCCTGGGCTGTTCCTTCGACTGTTCGATTTCTTGATAGGTGAATGCGATGCTCACCCCTCTAGGGATCTCTTGATGCGATACACCTCCGCTGATCGAGAGCGTTTGAGCCCACGAGGCGACATCAGTTTCGGAGGGATGGGGAGGTGTCAAAGGTAGAGCGACAATCCGAGTCGAGAAGTCTGCGCAAACGGCCGCGATGACAATCGTATCCTTCAGGACTGGAGGGAAAGGATCTAGTGATGAGCGTGCAGTCTCGGGGGCAATGCGAGGCACGGCCAGCTCGAGAACTCTGCTCGCAAGGGGAATATCGATTTCACGCAGGAGCCCCTCATATGGGTGGGCAGGGTCAACTTCCGGTTCCTCATCATCGAATTCAAAGGTTGGAGCTTCGTTTTTGGGAGATTCCGCAACGTCTTCTTCATCGGAATCAATGATCATGACTGCATCGTCCGCGCTGCTGTTAACTGGCTGCGACTTGTGGTTTTCGGCGGGTTGTTTCAGCGCGCCGAATGCTTTGCCTCCTCTCCAAACAACTTTCAGACCATTCTCGTAGCCATATACTATGACCGATGACCCATTAGGGGCGAGGACTGGGTAGCCTTTGGCGGCGTAAACACGGTGAGGAAGCTGATAGCTGATTGTGGAAAGAACTCTCTATTAGTGCTGCAAAATCCCTCTAAATTATGCCGAGATCCATACCTTAGCTGGAGACCATCGTCCCTGGGACGGACCAAAGGTCTAGATGGAAAGGAAGGCATCTGGAAGGAATGGTGGCGCTTGATCGATCTTTGCTGAGCACCGGGGGAAAAAGGGAAGGGAAAGGGCGAACCACAGTTCACCCACGGTGTTAGGCCCCAGGAAAAATAAGAGAAAACAATTAAGTGAGAAACAGTTGCCGATTCGTGCTAGAAGGGATTATCCGTGGTCCGGTCGAGAGGAACGCCGGTAAAGTGTGAGGTGGGAGAAAGAGAGATGTTTTGGGAGGGAAAACCAACTGAGTTGCGGAGGAAAGAAAAAGCAGCTGATCCAAGCTGCCGTCGCCGCGTTTCGCGCGTCCACCCACCACCGAGTATTCCCATTCCACCTCCCCAAAGCTACGCCGCACCGTCACCCCCAACTCGATTTGATTTGGCCGCATGAATTGACAATGGTCATGGGTGAATATCCTGGCTTCCAGTGCCAGAGATTCTACAACTACATCTAAGCGTTCGCGCCGACAATGGCTACAGTCCGTTCCCTTGGCCTCCACGAACCCTCCGCCGTACCTTTCCTCGTCGCGGAAGGGCTCCTACCTACGGATCCATCAGAGGACCTTTACGAATGGACAACGAGTGTTGAAGAGGGCCCGGATGGCCTGGTGGAGGACGAACTTGCTTGGACGAAGAGCTGCGTGGTCTGGTCTCGTGCGGGGGTGGTAAAGAGGGTCTTTCGGCTGGATCTCGAGAAGGAGGAAATCAGACACGCCCTGCTGACCAGTTTTTCTGTTGGAAAGATAAAGAGGTCTGAAGATAAAGCTCAACAAGGTGTGGGGGGAGGAAGAGGAAAGCCCCGAGCAAACAACAACCCTGGCCGCAGCCGCGGCTCGCATAGTCCGCTTGCTTCGCCCGGCGAATCGATGGTTGCAGCCTCGGGGGTGACCTTGACCGTACGTGGACGAGGAGCTCAAGATGGCAATTCCGGGGAAAACACCAGCACGCTATCCCGGGCTTTGGTGGTTGTGCTCAAGTCGCAGGCGCACATATTCTTCCTAGCGGGCACCAGTCATGTTGTTCCTCTACCCTTTGAGGTTGAGTCGGTTTTCGCAACCCCTAGAGGCTTGCTGTTCCAAAGGAAAGTGCAGGAAGGGGATAAGAGTAGCAAGGAACCCAGTTTCTACCCAATGGCTCCACCCAATTCGTTCATGTCGTCTCAACCTACAATCACGGACTTTCGCACCTCCCAGTCTCTGGAAGTACCTTCGGGTAAAGCCAAGCGCCCTTCGTTGACGATATCCCCTGTCCAAAACACTGGCCTGAAGCCGCGCTCCCCTAAACATGCGAATCTTCCCAGGGTGTTCTCGCTCATGGACCCTCATTCTGAAATGGGACTTGTGGTAACCAACCAGACATCATCGCGTTGGCTCCAGGCTAGCAGCTTGAACAGTAGGCCTTCTGGGTTTGATACCCTGGATCCTGCAGATGAGATAGTATACGTTTCCCCGAAGGATGAGCTTTCTCACTCGAGCCGAAGCCTCGCTACTGGCCCTCTGATTATCGTGATAACGGTCAATGTTAACACAGGGCTCTATACCATCTGGACCGCACGATACAGGGAGGATGAAACTGCCCAGCCCTCGCAAAAGAAGAAGAGGCGAGAAACCGGTGGCACTCGGTCAAAGAGACGGAGCTCTCACTTTGGAATAACAACCGGAACAACGACTCCCGGAGCTCGTCCATCTGCCACTCGGGAGAGCCTGGGAGCCCGAGGCGATGATTGGAACACACCAGGACTTTCGCAGTCTCAATACTCGGTCGAAGGCAAACCTGATGAAGATGATCTGGCCTCGAAACTGGGACAGGATTTTGGTGATATCGGAGTGCCACTGAAAACTTCGCGAAGAGTAAGCTCTTTGCTTGCCAGAGCCGATCTTGCGGCCGGTCCGGATAGACTTACGTTTTCCGATCTGGCAACGGGAAGTCAATCGAACTCTGTCCCTCATGGAGGTCTTCGACAGTCGATCGGTGCTGGTAGCACGCGTGGCAGCTTTGGCTTCAACCCGCGAGGCTCTCTGCCGACGGGAAATAGTTCCGTCTATAGCACCACAAGCAGCTTTGTTGATGCTCCTATTGACAAACTTCTACAGGAGTTGAATGATGATAGCTTGTTTGAAGGTTTCGAGAACATGGACCTGAAAGAATCTGCGTCAGGCCTTCCGGAAGAGGTTTTTTTGTCTAAGGTTGAGAGTTTTTCTTCTCGATTCTCTGGTACCTTTCAGACGTCGAATCAGACAAAGTGGACCCGACGCCTGAAGATCATCACCCTGTGTCCCTCTGAAACTGGGAATGAGCCCAATGGAAATTCAGCTACTTTGGCCATTTGCGTCGTCGACCAAGAAGCAAAATCCATGTCTACTATTAATTTGAGGGCAGACAAAGTTACGCATCCCAAAAAAGACACTCTTTTTAAGAAGACAAAAAAGAAATCGAACTCTGAGGCACGCTCTCTCGTGGTACAAGCAACTGGTATCCAGCATTTTGCCGGTGTACACGATGCCTGTAAGATCGTGGATGGAGAGGTTTTACGAATCTTGACCTTGAGCAACGGGGATAAAGGGAAATCCGAGCTATGCTTACAGACTCCATGGACAAGCCCTATTCCAATCAAGATTCCTAAGAATCTTATGTTATACGATACATACGGTATATCTTCTAACGTATTGAGCCGCCCGAGAGAAAGTGGTATGAACCGGATCATGACGGACTCGTCCATCGCAGTATCTAGAATCGACCACCCTTCCACTCAGGGGAAGGTCGATCTGGTCGACTCCTTGGGAAGAAGACACAAACTCCAGATTAAGATGGAGCCTCATAACGAGCTTGTGAAGACTATCTTCAAAGTCTTCCGGTTTATCTTGCCTGATTCGGAAAAGGCCGGGGAAGGAATATTGGCCGCCTGGTGGGAAACCGTGAGATGGCTTCGCGGAAGGGAGATAACCGAGACGGATGTAGAATGGACAGGCTTGGTCATTGTGCTATTTTCAATGGCAGTGCCGTTTATCGAGAACGATCCCGCACACACGCCTGCAAAGCCCATACGAAGAAAGAAGGGATTGTTGCGGTCAAGTAGCGGAAGCTATGTCGACCTGGAGAGCTGGGAATCGATGCTGGAGCAGGAATCAGGTTACGCCGGAGTTGTCGCCCCTTGGATGACCAATAGCTCTTGGGGATGGATTGTCGAGCAGGATGCCGAAGAAGATCACAATGCAAGCTCCGGTAAAAAGACCCCGAAAACCGAACAGCAGGGTACAAGCCGATCTACCTACCGAAAGAACACTTATTTACTTCGCTGTGCAGCCTTGACTCGGCAATTTCTACAGACGCCCGAGGGCGCGGCGATTGTGGGTACTGATGGTCATCTGCCAACGGCGCTTTCTTATAGCCAAAGCTCACGTCGCGCTGCTCTGTGTACGATACTTGTAGGATTGCACCTTCTCCGAGAAGAGCACAAGCTTTCGATCTGCGAGAGTGAGTTGTCACGCAAATCTCTAGGACTCCTCGCCCCTGTTTTGGCACAGATTGGCGGGTGGCTGGGATGGGAATCATGGACATGGGCCGAAGACTCCTATTATGGTATGGAGATGTCCAGTATCGACCGCTGGGAGTTTGAGAAAACTCAAATCTCCACGCTGGACGTACCCTCGGAGCCGTTCCAGCCCCCTTCAATCTTCTCTCACGTGGAGAGTACATGGCGACAACACTCATCACGGTTCCTTACACTTCTCAGCTTGGTGACTGCATCTGAGCGGACATCTCGGAAGGGACGCCTGTGGCAAGAATGTTTTTCTCTAACTCCAAGGACCCTGGCATTAGATGGCTTCCTCTCGGAGGTGCAAAACCTGTCGACAGCATTCGATCGCATAAAGCTTCTCTATCGCTGGGGGTTTACTCGAAGCATCATTGAGACTTTGCCCGAAGGAGTCAGCACTCCATTGTACGAGATTATCATGAAGTCACAAATGCATGCTTCAACTTCGTGGAGCTCGACGCTATTAGAGCTTATCGACCGAGAAGATCTGAGCATCTCGATGCATACCAACAGCCACGGCCCCCCGTCGTCACCATTGCAGCCTGTTTTGACCCATGAGGCCATGCGCGACTTCCATCATATCGGAAGTTCGGCGTTGGATATCGACGCGATCAACTCGTTCGAGGCTTCAGCCGAAGCGGATAGATTCTCCGTGACCAGGTTGATCTTCCGTGAAGACAAACGTTTCATCGAGGCTGCTAGGTTGCTGAATCAATCCAAGGCTCCCATAGCAGAGTGTGCCCCCGAACCTGAATGGTCCGACTCGGACCTCCTTGAAGCGCAGAAAGAAGTGGTGCAGCTTGTGACGTTAAGGACCTTGTCAATTCCCACTGGTAGGGCTATGCTCGCTTTCAGCGGACGTCTCCCTTTGTTGACCGAGAAGCTACCGATTCCATCCTTCTCCTTACAGTGTGTTATGAAGCCGTCCAATGTAACTGTCAGCGCCGACCGGGCTGCGTTTAGCGAGGAGAAAGTCTGCTGGGCGTTTTTCCATAATGGCGTCTCCACCGGACTTGCCATATCGCGGAACTCCAAGGGAATAGACACGTCGTGGATCCTCTTCAACAAACCCCAGGATCTAACCAACCGACACGCCGGTTTCTTGCTAGCACTTGGTCTCAATGGTCACCTCAAATCATTGGCCAAGTGGGTTGCTTTCAAGTATTTAACGCCAAAGCATACGATGACTTCCATCGGGCTGTTGCTTGGACTGTCGGCATCCTATCTTGGTACAATGGATACCCTGATCACTCGTCTGTTGTCGGTGCATGTTACAAGGATGCTGCCTCTCGGTGCGGCCGAACTCAATCTGTCCCCGCTGACGCAAACAGCGGGAATCATGGGTATTGGGCTACTCTATTGCAATTCTCAACATCGCCGAATGAGTGAAGTCATGTTGTCAGAGATTGAGAACGTGGAACAGGAGGAGGGGTCTCCAGCATCACATGGGGACCTGCGTGACGAAGGATACCGCTTGGCTGCTGGTTTTGCGCTTGGGTTCATCAACCTGGCCAAGGGCAAAGACCTCAGAGGAATGCGAGACATGCACATCGTGGAGAGGCTACTGGCTGTCGCGGTGGGAACTAAAAACGTCGACCTGGCCCATATACTCGACCGGGCTACTGCGGGCGCGACAATCGCCTTGGCTATCATCTTCATGAAGACCAATGATGAAATTTTGGCACAGAAGATCGACATCCCAGACACAACCGTACGCTTTGATTATGTCCGGCCCGACTTGTTCCTGCTTCGCACCCTTGCCCGGCATGTCATTATGTGGGATAAAATTCAAGCCAGCGATGAATGGTTTATCCAAAGCCTGCCAAAGGTTTACCGCCGGCGTTATCGTCTGACCGGTGTCCGCCGCCTGAAGAGTGACGACATGCCCTTCTTCAACATCATCGCTGGTCTTTGTTTCACCCTGGGTCTCCGCTACGCCGGCTCCGCGCAGACTGCAGTGCGCGATCTCCTTCTGTCCTATCTAGACCAGTTCATCCGAATCTGCAGACTTCCCGTTGTGAATTACGATGGCAAGCTCGCGCGGAACTCGGTTCGACACTGTCAAGACGTTGTTGCGCTTTCAGCAGCGGCAGTGATGGCAGGAACTGGAGACTTGGCAATGTTTCGCCGCCTGCGCTCTCTGCACGGTCGTGTAGACATCGAGACACCGTATGGAAGCCATATGGCATCGCACATGGCAATCGGCTTATTGTTCTTGGGCGGAGGAAGTTACACTCTGGGCACGTCCGATCTGGCGATCGCCTCACTCATCTGCTCCTTGTATCCGATCTTCCCAACTACAGTGCTTGACAACAAATGCCACCTTCAGGCCTTCCGCCACTTGTGGGTTCTTGCTGCTGAGCCTCGTTGTCTCGTGCCCCGCGACATCGATTCTCGACGTCCCATTTCCATTCCCATCACAGTGACAGGATTAGACGGTGAAAGCCACAAGTTCGCCGCGCCTTGCCTGTTGCCCGACTTGACTGGTATAGCTAAAGTGGAGGTCAGCAGCGCCGACTTCTGGCCTCTGATGCTTGATTTCGCCAGCAATCCCGTCCTCCGCGAGAAATTCCGGCTCGGCGACCAGTCTGTTTACCTCCGACGCAAAACCAATTACAACCCCACAGGTTCATCCGTGTTCGTCTCGACCCTCGCCGGACATGGAGAGGCGCAGGACGTGCTTCCATCCACCACTTCGATATCGAACCAAGGCAAGGGCTTGCCCCCGGCGGCGTTGCCAAACCTGAACGCACTGCTCTCATCGGGCGCCGTCAGCCGCACACCTCCGTCACCCGCACAAAGCATATGGGAATGGGTGTTCAACCTGAAGTCCCTCCAAGGACTAGACGCCCGCGAAAAGGCCTTAGTGCTACCGGCGTTTTTCCCAGGACGCGCTCAACCCTCCCACCAGAGTAAGGTGTCGTATGCGCCCTGGCTGCGCCAATCCGCGGTAGACAGCAGACTCGTGATCGAAAGCACCGCACAAAACATGATCCAAGCCATGCTAGGCCGCGGTGCGGATCCCGACGAAGTTCGCGACCGCATATGGCAACTTCGACTCCTGTTCAGCTGGATCGAAACCGAGTCGAACGAGCGGGCGCGCATAACGGACGAGGAAACGGGGGGATCGGGACCGGGGCCGGCGAGACAATCGGATAGCCCGTGGCTTCGACGAGACTTCTTAGAGGAAACTCGTTGGAAGATCTGGGGGATTCAGGTCGGGGATCATGCGTAATAGTATAGTCTTTGATTGTTCTTTGTTCGGGTTGCAAATCTGTATCATGCTTATGCACTGTGCTGGAGAATGATGATTACGAATAGGGGTTATGGTATGTCTTGTATGGGTAGATTAATTATATTCATGTCTAGGTGAATGCGTGCATTATGTTCAATGTTCGATGACTCAATTGAGAAGCCGATTGATTCATACTCATAAGATGGATGATTTCCATTCATCATGGTAGAACTTGATACTAAAATAAACAGACCATCCCATGCGCCGTGCGTCGCCAGACCTGCAGTGTTATTCACATTTGATTTTGAAAGAAAAAACATTGATGGAGAATGCCACAGAAGAAACAAAATGAGAGAAACTACTGCGATCGAAGCTCTCCCTCCTTCAGAATCCCTCGATCTCCACCACCCCCAGACTGCCAGAGCCAAATTCCCTCGACGGCCCAGGCAGTAGCACTTGCATGACGGCCGATACCGCTATTAGCTCCGGAAGGACCCTGGTCTTGCTTTTGCTCCTTGTCTGCACGTTTCGTGCCAGATGATGATGATGACGATGCGCCGGCCGCTTCGGCCAGCATACCGGGAACTACACGCTCCTTCTCAACGACAGACCATAGTCCCTCGACCAGCGTGCTGCCGCGTTCTCCAAGCTCGCCTTTTCCAAGACGGAACAGGATCCGTCCGAGGACTTGCCACGCGATGCACCGTTGAGCAGGGAATGAGGAACGACTGAGGATGGCGAGTTCCGGGATCGTGTACCCGGCGGCGTGGGGGTCGTTGCCGTGGTGGTGGAGGCCCAGGGAAATGGGCAGAGCGAGCGAGGTGCTAGGGGAAAGGATGGTGCCGCGCAGAGAGAAACGTAGGTTTGCCGGGTGGACGGCTTGAGCGTCGCTGGCGGGGTGGTATGCCGAAGCGGCGTCCGGAGCGTCGGCTTCGGCGGAGGGCGTCTTGAGCCAGGAGAGAACGGACGGATCGTGTGAGATGTTGGGGAAGTAGTGGGTTTGCAGGTCGGAAAGGAAGGAGGGCGATGAGGGGTCGAGATTGGGAACGTTAGATGACTGGGGTGGCGGAGTTGGGAAATGGACGGCCCCGTCGGTTGGGAACTCGGATGCTGGGTGCACGTCTTCGGGGATGTGCGTTGGCCCTCGGTCATCTAGTGCGGCGGTTGACTTGTCCTGTTGCCTGCGCGAGTCCGATTCGGTGTTGGAGTTGGGTTTGGGGGTTGATTCTGAGGCAGTGTCTTGTCGAGGGGGTGTGGTTTCTTTTGTCGTCTGCGGCGGGGATCTTGCAGCAGGACGGGGCCGGGGAGTAGAAGGTTGTTCTTCCGGGGAGTCGATGCGAGCTCTGCGAAGGAACTTCTCTAGGAGGGATGTGTCCATAGTCTCCATCAGTTCCTCCCGCTCGGCTTGGATTTGATTCTCCGACATGGCTGCTAAGTGGCGACTGTTGTCTTGTCCAATTTGCGTCCTCTCATCAACGGGACCGGAGGTCGATGCGGACGGTTCCAGAACTGTGGAAGCGGCTTCTCGTCGCTGCTTGAAAGCCGACGGTTTGGTGCGACGACGATGCGCAGGGAATCCGGAGGTGGGAGGCTTTGGAGGCGCGGGGGCAACGGTCGGCTCGCGTTCGCGTATCTCGCCGATCATCCCGGGGGTGGAGAAGGAAGAGGGATCCTGAGGATCAATGACGGGGCCGGTCGGCTCCTCATCATCGTCGAGATCTAGCACAAATCGCTGGCCGCGGAACGCCATTTTCAGTGGAGGTCGGGAAGGATGCGACGTTGAAAATGTCCGAAAAGGACCAAGATGAAGCTATCCCGGGGCGGACTAGCGCGGGTTCGGCATGAGCAACTGGCTGAGTCAGCGTGCGGCTCAAAACCTAAATGGCGATGGACTAGTCCCGATAGGGGTAGCGCCATCACCTGATTATTCTGCCGGATTGGGGAAGGCGGGATCATCTGCTTTCCGCCTTTTGATATCAGGACTTTCCAGTCACCATCAGCATCTCTTGCCCTGCGACAGAGAGACGGTGAGTGGCGAGGAATTCCTGTTCAAAAGAAGTAACACAATCTCTCATATCCCTCGAGGGACAATTCTTCCTCCAGAGTCTCCTAGAAGAAGACCGATATTGACTGCGGAATGTCTGGTTCGTACTCTAAACCTGTAGTGCCACCTTGGAGGGCTGGATGGCGTTAGTTTAGTTGCTGTTCCCTTCTCTAATATGACCTGAACATCAGAATTCCCAGCGACACGGGATATAATCCTATCATCCCCAGCAGATCGAGCAATTAATCAATTTATCTTTCCTATTAATCTATCAATCAATCAATCAGCGTCCTTCCCCCCTCTCCGTCTCCCTCCCTCTGCCTCTCTTTCTCGTTTACTGTCTCATTCTACCCGGAACTGCCATCCTTTCCTCGTCTGAACCCTTTTTCCTTCCCTTCTTCACCCTCCCTTTCTCCTCCTTTTCCCGTTCGTGTTTTCTCCTCTCCTCCTCCGCGACTTCCATCCTTCATCTTCCATCCACCCTTTCTATCACATCTCGTCCTATGGTCTAATTCCATTTTCTTTCATCTGCGCTCATCTTTCTTTTTCTTTCTTTCGGTTTTTCCATTTTCTATTTTCCCTTTTCCTTCGGATCCTTCCGTGTTGGAGTTCATTCCCCCCCGACAGTTCAATCCTCGCATCGATCCATCAAAAACCGCGTTCCTGTCATCCACTCGTTTTCCACCTCGCCACCTGCTATACCCTCCAGTCTTCTCTATCTCGATGCTCGCACCCTAATCGTCTCTTTCCATCATGTCCCCGGAGCCGTCCGTCTGGCCGGCTCAGGACGATCACCGCTCGCGTTCCCTCGCCGCCGCCCAACGCCCTCGACGGTCGCGTCGCAAGAAGGACGACGAAGGAGATCTCGACCGCAAAGACACCAAAGCGACCAAATCCAAGGAGAAAGAAAAAGAAAAGGACAAGGACAAGGAGAAGGAGAAGGAGAAGGAAAAAGACAAGGATAAATCCAAAGAAAAGGACAGCAACAAGGAGAACGATAAGGATAAAGACGGGCAGGAGCAGAAGGAATTGAAACGGGGCAATCGGCGTCAACGCGATAAATCCGTTTCTACGCCAAACGCTCATTCTTCGAACAATTCGGCCGCACCTTCTCGCAAGAAACCCAAGCTCGAGGAGACGCCTCCGGAACAGAAGCCTCCCGTGCCAGTTTCCACTGCGCCGCCTGCTCCAATTCCAGCTCATACGGCAGCTCCAGCTCCGCCAGCTCCTACTACCCCCGCGGCCAGTCCTCCAGCTCCTCCGCCGGTCGTCTCTCTTCACCATCATCATCACCAACCTCAACCCCCATCGCACCTGCAACAAGGACCTCGCCACTCGATGCAGTCGTCCGCTTCGCTACCCTCGTCAGCTCACCCTACCCCACCTCCTCCTGTCCAGGTACAGTCGATTTCCTATCATACGATGGCTCCAGTAGGGCCGCCCCCGCGCCCTCAATCTCAACCTCCGCCGCCGCCGCCGACCAGGACCAGCGGCCAGAACTTTGACCCCATTCGATCGGCTTTTGACACGGCCACCCCGGCTCCACCTCCAGTTTCGACGCCAGTGCCTAGCTCTGTCTTCAGTCCATCGGCGCGCCCGCTATCACCCCGGCCACCGTTCCGTGCCAGCGCGTCACCGGCCATTGCCAGCATAATCGACCCCCCTACGAACTCGTCGCCTCCGCTCTATGCTCCCCGGTCTTATGTCTCCCCCGGGCGTGGCAATTCGGCCTACTCTCCCTCGCCGGCTGCCACGCCGGCCATCGCGCCCACCCCTCCACCGCTGCCACCCCCTCAAGTCCGACCAGTTTCTCCTTACGCCAATCGATCGCCCTACCCGCCGCAACCGCAACCACAACCGCAGCAGCCCTCTCAAAGATCTCCGCCCTCAAATCCGTCTCCCCCGGCTCAGCCTGCGTCGGTGATTCCACTTCCAATGCCCGAGCCTTCGCAACCGGCCTCGTCAAATAACCAACGGGCACCGTCGCATGAGCCAACTCCGATGGACGTCGATGCGGATCGTTCGCCCCCTTCTGCGGTGGTTAAAGCTCCAAAGAAGGAAAGCAAAGCACCCCCCACGGCACCACCATCGGACCCTACATCACCGAAACCACCCCGCGGGGCAAAGGAAGCTCCGAAGCCGCTACCCCAAGGCTCCGGACTGATCTCCAATGCGCTGTTCGGCGTGGGCGACGGTGCATCTGACGATCCCTCTTCGCGGCGCACGCCCAGTATCATTCTGCATATCCCCCTACAAGGCAATGGCGATCGGATTGTCAATTTTGCCCGTCTCGCAGAGGAGCAATATGGGTTTGCAGCGCTGCATCCCCGTCTTGCGGCCCACAAGGAGCGACTGGCCCGTGTGGCCGCGGCAGGAGCTGCTTTGGAACGGAACGATAAGACCGGTCGTGGAGTCTCGGCTGGAGAGAGTGCGGACGAGGACCTGAGTCTGGAAATGGATCGAGACAGTGACTTAGAAGGGGAAAGCGCACTAGGACCGTCAGTGGCTCGCGCCAACGGGCCCGAGGCTACGGAAGGAAAGAAGAAGCGCCGCAAGAAGAAGATGGAGGAATATGACCGAGACGATCCGTTTGTGGACGATAGCGAGCTAGCCTGGCAGGAACAGGCTGCGGCCAGTAAAGATGGGTTCTTTGTATACAGTGGGCCTCTGGTGCCCGAGGGCGAGAAGGTGCAAGTGGAACGGTACGTGATTTTATCCTTGTCGGACTTTGTGGTCACGTCGAGAGTAATGCTAATTTGTTTATCTACAGCGCCGATGGTACAATCAAACGTGGCCGCGGCCGTGGACGTGGAGGTCGCGGACGAGGCCCGCCAACCACCCAGCATCAAGTCCCTCTGGCGGCTGCCGTCCCCATATCGCAGGAAACCGGTCTTCCTCTGCGCGGTCCTGGGTCGCGAGGAGGCAATCCGCGCCGTCCACGGACCAAAACAGCTCGTCAACAAACGGAACAGGACAAACCGAGCGGAAATGGGCCTACATCGCATGGTCGAGGCGGAGGAGTCGCTGGCCGCGGAGGCTCGACGAGTACTCGAGGAGGAAAATCGCCGGCGATGATCGAATTGGCTCCCCGTCCGAACATTGCGCCTCCCCTTCCCGGACCTGGGCACGAACTGGCGACGAAGTAATTTCTCTCTTTTCCTTTTTTTTCCCCGTCTTCTTTTTACACCTTTCTATAACTGTTTCTTTATATCTCCCCCCTTTTTCATTATTTTCATTCTGTGTCAACTCTTCTTATCTGGGATCGAGTGCAGAGGGACGACCCAGAGGGTCTTTCTTGTAGAACGATTGATTGAAACTATTGTATGGGTGTGACTACAGTATACGGTGTCTGATTCGATTTTCTCTCTTTGGTTCTGTTCTGTGACATGACGTTCTCACGGGTTTCCTACGCTTCTTTGCTTCTTTGGTTGTTCTCGCTCGCCTGGACCGGTGTCGTTTCTATTTCCTGTGCATGATTCGGTGCGGTGTCAATTTTTTTTTTTTTTTTTTTTTTTTTTTTTTTTTTTTTTTTTGCTATTTTTCTTATTCCAGTTTCTTGTGTTCGTGTTCCATTTTACTATCCATCTTCCATGCGGAAAAATCTATCCGAGAAATAACTCTATTTGTAGTATTTGTTCGTGCTGATTTCGACATGATATGAAACCACAAAAAAACAGAAAAGAAAAGAAAAAAAACGATTCGTATATTCTGATTCTGTACTTTGTACCGACAGGGAGATATAGAAAACCCGTGATCAAACAGACAGATCCAAAATGGATAGAATCAGGTCAGATCAGATGTAACAAGAGTTCCAGCCTCGCTCGACATCTAACTTCCTTTGACAAAAAAGACTTGCATTGACCAAACAAAGACAGCGAAATGGAAGGAAGTATGTTATGGAAACCAACGTGATAAAACCAGAAAAACAAACAACAGATAAACCAGCGTAGCGTAAAAATAGAGAGACGGTTTCAAAATGAACCGAAGAGCCAATCGAGATTTAGAGTTTGAAGTTAAAGACAGGACCGAGGAAGAGGGAATAAAAGACGCCTTTGCCGATGCAGAAATCATCAGAAGTGAATAGATAGATAGGGATGGGTTGGTTAGTTCAGGATCGAGTATTTCGTTATCTGAAAATTGGAATAAGGCGGGATGGGTAAATAATCACGAAAGTAAAAGGATAAATCGCTAGTCCTGCAGGGGTGACGGAAAAGAGGTATGTTCATTGATAGCCAAAGATGACATTGACATGACATGGCGAATGCTACATAGATGTAGACAAGGCAAGGCAAGACCCCAAGCCAGTGGTTTATACAGCACCTCGCATCGAACCGGGTTGGCGCCCCCACGATCCTCCGCCCGACGTTGGGACCGGCGGCGGGGGACCGCTGGGCGGCGGTGCTGCGCGAACGGGGTGCGTCGAGGACTGCAGAGGCATGCGCGATTTCGTGTTGTGAGAGCTGGCCGAGCGGGAACTCATCGAAGGTCGCATTGGGGAATCGATGGCTGAAATGGGATCCACCAGGTGTGCCCGCGACGGACGACGGCCGGAGCGATATTCGTCTTCTTTGGTTTCCAGGGACAGGTGCTCCAGCGAGAGAGGCGGAGATCGAGTGGATCGGGAGGGTCGCGGCGACGGATTCGAAGGATACTGGTAGTGTCGGGAATGGGACGAGGATACCTCGGCGGGCATATTCAATGGGATGTCGCCGGACGAGGGGGGATACTGCGGCGTGCGCGAGGACGATTTGCTGGACACAGGTTTGGCAGCGGCCGGGCTGGGGTTGGCGATGGGCTGCGAGGCCTCCTCCTTGAGCGATTTGGGCGGCGCCGGAGCCAGATAAGATTTACGGTTATGTCGTTCCATCATGCTGATGGCCCATTCTTGTAGGTCGACGGGGGTGCGCTTTGCCGCCTGCAGGAAGGCATCCTTGTCCTGAATCCGGTTGTTAGCAAACGGGAACAAACCCACGGCTGTAATCTCTCTCGGGGTGAGGGCATCATACATATAGTTCTCGAGGCGTCGGTCGCTCCTCGGGCTTCTTCAACAAACATTTCGCCGCGAACTCGTGCAGGATGGGAGGAAAGGCGTCGCTCTTGGGCAGCTTGGGGGCCGGCTCATGCACGATTTGCTGCAGGAGATCCAGGATACCCATGGGACCGGCACTGGCACGGTCTCCGGCCGACGCGTCGGACGCATCGAAGGGGAAGCGGCCCACGGCCAATTCCATCACCGTCAATCCCACACTCCAGACATCCGATCGCACCGTGTACGCACCACCCTGGATCCGCTCGGGCGCCATGTAGGTGGAGGTTCCGACGAACGTGTCGGCGATGGAATTCACGGTCTCGGTGGCCACGCCAAAGTCGCACAGCTTGATGTTTCCTCGGGAGTTGACGAGGATGTTGGACGGTTTGATATCGCGATGCATGATGCGATGGGCCTCGTACAGATAGACTAGACCCGCCAGAATCGACTCGGTGATTTTGCCCAGGACGTCCACCCGAACCGGGCCAAAGTCCTTGGATATACCGTCGAGAGAACTAATCGGGTTCCGTCGGGTTAGAATCCCTACTCATAAAAGTAGCGTCCCAGGGTCGACTTACCCGCAATCCATGTATTCCATACATAGGACGATATCTCGAGCTTCATTCTGGAAGGCTCCGTAGAAAGTGACGATGTTCGGGGAATTGCAGTCATGCCCGACTTGCAGCTCCCGCAATATTTGCTTGCGCACCTTCTCCTTGGCATCGACTCGAATGATCTGCGTTCGTGAGGAGTGAGCAGACAGAAGAGAAGATGACAGACACGTCAAATCGACTGCGCGCATACCTTCCTGGCCATCACCACCTTCGTGGACGCATGCATCACCTTGGAGACCGTTCCGCCATTTCCTGCGCCCAGCTCCTTCAGGGTCACCAAATCTTCGCTGCGGAGGTCGAGTCGGAACTCCAGTCCAATTTCCAGGGTGTCTGTCTGTTTGACCTCGCCGCTTCCGACGGCACCGGAGGCTGCATCGCCGTCGGGGGCGTTGGACGAGGGTTTTGGGGCGGCGTTCAGGGCAAGACCCTTGACGTTCTTGCGTTTTAACGTACGAGCCTTGAATTGATCGGCCATGGTGAAAGGGGGGGAGGGAGGGAGAGAAGGAGAGGAAAGGAGGGTGAAGAGAAAGATCGCGAGCGAGAAGGGGGGAGGGGGAGGATGGATGGATGGATTTAAGAAAACAGAAAAAGGCGCCGATAAAAGGAAAAAGATGCGCCAACGAATCCCCCTGGGCGTGAATTAATGGGACGGAGGCACGGAGAGACTGGGCTGGTGAGACAAACCAGGTGGGTTTATTGGGCGCCGGAAGCCTGAGAGACGCAGCGGCAACAGGTCGAAGGTGGGGTAGTTTGTAGGCGTAGTCGACTACTATTTAGTAGTGTTTAACCTGTTCATAGTCGCAGCAGTATCCTATTCCTGCCTAGGATTATGCGCGTTTCACCAGAGGCGTGGTCGGGTGGGATTCCGTCGGCAGGGACGGTTCTCTCTGGTAATAGGATCTTCTCTACGGTACTCCCCGATTCTTCTTCCCTCCGTAGTGGCATCAATAGTCGGGGAAACATGGAACAAAGACCCTCAAACTATCGATCCTAAGGCAATCAATAACAAGAATTATTTAATCCTCCACTCTAGAGCAACGTCAGCATGCAGGACGGTCCTTTGTTAACTGTGGCATGTAGTGAGTGGATCTTTGAATAACTATAACTATTCAAGATTGTTAAATGTATACATCGTCTATTGTGTACATGGAGTATGAATTTAACTGTTGAGTGAAGCATACGATCACCTGATCTGGCTCTCACCTGATCGCGCGCGTTCAGCCACAGCTCCCGGGCGGTGAGGACAACTGCGCCACGGCCCTTTGGCGCAGCCGGCAAGTCTCGCTCGTCTTGTGTCGCTTCTTGTTCTTCGTCCCTTCTTCCTCTCTCACACTCTCTCTTCCCTTCCAATTCTCCTTCCTCTCTTGCTCGGGCTGTCTGTGCTGGAAACGTTGTCCGCTGCTGGTCTCGGTGGTGGATCTCGTCGCGTCCGTCACTTCTCGTTCTTTTTCCTTTGTCCTCGACAACAACCCGTCCTTCTCCCTACAGCTCGATCCTTTCTTTCCGCCCGAGAACCTACAAGATGAGCGCCCGCGACTTCGTTGAAGGAGAGGCTATGCTGGATGATGATGAAAATGAGGAGGAGCTTCCCGATGACTATGAAGGGAGAGCTCGCGAGGGTGCGGGTACCTCGAATCACTACAACGACTCGAGTGAAGAAGACGAAGACGAGGATGATGATGAAGAAGCCGCCCGCGCAGTAAGTCACGCGGTGATCGGAATTAATGCTGTTCCTGTACTGACCTGTTCTCGTTTGCTAGGTCCGCGAGGGTTTCATCGTCGACGAAGACGAAGAGCTCGAAGACCGCGCCGAGCGGCGGCGGGAGCGAAAGAAACGTCGCAGAGAAGAACGTGAGCGCGAGGATGAGCATCTGGACGATGAAGATTTGGAGCTCATCGGGGAGCTAGACCCGGGGCGCCCACCCCCGGCCGCCCCCGAGGTAAGCCTACTCCCATTCTCTTTGCCTGGGCTCTTTGGATATTGAAACGGCTGTCTCTTGGGGAGAGAGGTGTAAGCGAGCTAACTTGATTTCCTTTTCTCGATACAGTCTAAATTCAAGCGACTAAAGCGTGGCCATAAAGACCGTGACTCTCGACAACCATCCCAAGGTATCAATGATATCTTCAACTCGGATGACGAAGAGGAACCGGCGGGCGACTATGGCAGGCCCGGTCATCGGAGGCCCATGCACGATGAAATGGACGACTTCATCGAAGAAGATGTTTTCTCGGACGAGGAGGGCCAGCGGGAGCAGGAGGATTTGGAAATCGCCCGCCCCAAGACCTTCATGTCTAACCTGGGCACCACCGATGCAACGGGCTTGGATCCGAATGCCCTCGAGGATATGCGCGCCGCCTTCGGAGACGGAGATGACTACTACTTCGCCCTGGCCATGGAAGACCAGGAGCAGGAGCAGGAGGTGGATGAAGAAAAACATCTGGATCTGAAGGATGTTTTCGAACCGTCGCAGCTGGCCGAAAAAATGTTGACTGAGGAGGATAACCAAATTCGTTTGCTGGATGAACCCGAACGACACCAGATTGCCCGCAAGCCCTACCGAGACGTCGCTTTGACCGAGGAGCAATTCCGCGAGGAGGCCGCCTGGATCTCGAACCTCATGCTTTTGAAAAAGCGCATCGAACCCGAGCTCCGGGAGCCGTTCCAACGCTCGGTCGCCAAGGTTTTGGAGTTCTTGGTGACGGACGACTGGGAGGTTCCCTTCATCTTCCAGCACCGCAAAGACTACATGATTCATGCCGTCAAGGTTCCCGTGGACGGCGCCGGTTACGACGCCGATGCTTCGCAGTACACCACCAAGGCGGAAAAGCTGCTGAACATGACGGACCTTTGGGATATCTTCGATCATGACCTCAAGTTCAAGGCGCTCGTGGACAAACGCAACACGATCCAGAAGGCCTATGACAACGTGCAGAGTCTGTTCCAAGTCAACGACCCGGTGGTAGACGAGATGCTTCCGGCCGCCGTGACCATGGAGGAGCTCCAAGATGTGCAGGACTACATTCATTTCCAATATGCATCCCATCTACGGGACATGGCTTTGACGAACGGCGAGGCCAATGGCGAAACGCAGCGGCGGAAGGCTTCGAGCAAGACTTTCTTCGAGCGTGTCCGGAACGGAAAGGCCTACGGATTGGTGCGTGCCTTTGGAATTTCTGCAGATGCGTTCGCACAGAATGCTCTCAAAGAGGGCCGCCGACAATACACCGAAGACCCGACCGAGCGCCCCGACGATATGGCCGACGGACTAGTGGACAACGACTTCTCCAATTCGTCTCACGTTCTGAAAGCGGCCAAGACCATGTTCGCCGAAGAGATCGTTGTGAGCCCCAAGATGCGTAAGGTGATCCGACAGGCCTACTACATGAACGGCGCCGTCGATTGCTTCCGAACTGAGAAAGGTTTGCGGCGCATTGATGAGCAGCATCCGTACTACGAGTTCAAGTATCTGCGCAACCAGCAGCTCAGCGATATCGCCCGCCGCCCGGAGCTGTACCTCCGCATGCTCAAGGCCGAAGAGGAAGGCCTCGTGGAGGTGAAGGTTCGTTTCGAGAACTTCGACCATTTCCGGCAACGCCTGTACCCCGACATCGAGTCGGATAACTATAGTGAACTCGCGGACGCTTGGAACCGCGCTCGCCGTGACGTGCTGGACCTGGCCCTGGGGAAGTTGGAACGGTTGATCAACCGCAGCGTGAAAGAGAACATCCGTCAAGAATGCGAAAACCATGTGGCAAAGGAGTGCCGCGAGGCATTCTCCCAACGGCTGGATCAAGCCCCTTATAAGCCCAAGGGCATGGTGCTGGGTACCGTTCCTCGGGTCTTGACTCTCTCTACAGGATCGGGCATCGTCGGACGAGAACCGATCCATTGGGCCTACGTGGAGGAAGACGGTCGCGTGCTAGAGAACGGAAGATTTACGGATCTATCGATTGGCGACCGCGATCGCAACATCCCCGACAGCAAAGATGTCGACGGCTTTGACGAACTCGTGCGTCGACGCCGACCCGACGTCATCGGTGTGTCCGGAAGTTCTCCGGAGACTCGCCGGCTTTACAAGCTTCTGACCGACGTTGTCGATAAGAAGGATCTGCGCGGTGCTCCGTACACCGACGACCGAGACGACGAGGTCAGCGATCGATTGGAGGTCGTCATTGTCAACGACGAGGTGGCGCGACTTTACCAGCACAGCGAGCGGGCCAAGAAGGATCATCCGAGCTTCGCACCCTTGTCACACTACTGTGTCGCATTGGCTAAGTACCTGCAGAATCCGTTGAAGGAGTATGCGTCCTTGGGGCGAGACATCGTGTCCATTCAGTTCAAGCCGGGGCAGCAGCTGGTCAGTCAAGAATTGCTTCTTAAGCAGTTGGAGACGGCGCTGGTCGATATGGTGAACCTGGTGGGCGTGGATATCAACGAAGCTGTCGCTGACACGGCGACTGCCAATCTTCTCCCATACGTTTGTGGCCTGGGCCCGCGGAAGGCAGCCCATCTGCTCAAGATCGTCAACATGAACGGCGGCGTTGTGAACAACCGCGTAGAGCTCCTGGGTGTGAATGCGCAGTATCCAGCTATGGGCGTGAAGGTGTGGAACAACTGTGCCAGTTTCCTGTACATCGACTTTGAAAACGCTGACCCGGATGCCGACCCGCTGGACAACACTCGAGTTCACCCGGAGGACTACGATATTGCGCGAAAGATGGCGGCCGATGCTCTGGAGTTGGATGAAGAGGATATCAAGGCGGAGACGGACGAGAACGGACCGGGCGCCATCGTGCGGAAGTTGTTCCGCGAGGAGGCGCAAGACCGAGTGAACGACCTGATTCTGGAAGAGTACGCCGAGCAGCTGGAGAAGAACCTCAACCAGCGCAAACGAGCCACCCTTGAGACGATCCGTGCCGAGCTTCAGCAACCGTACGAGGAGCTGCGCAAGCAGTATGTCTTCCTCAGCACGGATGACATCTTCACCATGCTCACGGGTGAGACGGTGGACACGTTGGCCGAGGGCATGGTGGTGCCCATCTCCATCAAGCGCGTGTCGGACGACCACATCGACGGTAAGCTGGACTGCGGCATCGACGCCCTCGTGCCCGAGTCGGAGCTCACGGATCGATACGACATCCCGGTGCGGGCCCTGTACGCGCCACACCAGACCGTGCCGGCCAAGGTGCTGTTCCTCAACCGGAAGAGCTTTACCTGCAACGTCTCGCTGCGCGAGGAGCAGGTCAGCCGACCGGTGGGCAAGGTTCAAGATCGCCTGCAGGGCGAATGGGACGAGCGACAAGAACACCAGGATCGTGAGGCGATGCAGGAGAAGACCCAGAGCGGCGGGCGAGCCATGCGTGTCATCAAGCACCCGTTGTTCCGGCCTTTCAACTCCACGCAGGCCGTAGAATTCCTCGGGTCGCAGAGCCGCGGTGACGTGGTGATCCGGCCTTCCTCGAAGGGTCCCGACCACTTGGCGGTAACGTGGAAGGTCGCGGACGGCGTGTTCCAACATATTGATGTGCTGGAGCTGGACAAAGAGAACGAATTCTCCGTCGGGCGCGTTCTGAAGGTTGGCGGTCGATACACATACAGCGATTTGGATGATCTGATCTTCAACCATGTCAAGGCGATGGCCAAGAAGGTGGACGAGATGGTAGTACATGAGAAGTTCCAGGAAGGCAGCAAGGATGCCACCTGTAAGTTCCTGTTCCTTTCTTTCGTTTCTTGTTGCTTTGATTTGAGAGGCTAATATTCGTGCACAGACTCCTGGTTAGAAACCTACACCAAAGCCAACCCCAAGCGGTCGGCCTACTCCTTCTGCATCGACACCAAGCACGCCGGCTATTTCTTCCTCTGCTTCAAGGCCGGAGAAAATTCCCAGCTGCAGAGCTGGCCCGTGAAAGTGATTCCTCAGGGCTACGAACTGCAGCGCAACCCCTACCCCGACATGCAGGCGCTCTGCAACGGATTCAAGTTGATGTTTACCAATATGCAGGCTGGTAGACGGAGGTAGAGGCAGGGTGATAAGGAAAAGGGGGTTCTTTTTTCCTACTCTTCTTTTGTATACTGTAATATTTCTTGATGCCCATGGCCCCGGATGGTGTTGATTCCTCGGTGATTGCTGTCTTTTTTTTGTACCTTTTCTATTCTCTTATCATGGTGGTTATTATTTTTCAAGTGGTGAAAAACACGGCAGCAAAATTCCAGCACAGATGGCCTCCATCCATTGTACTCCGTAGTCAGGGACACCCTCGGTCCTTGTGAGCCCCAAAAATGGGCGCGGCTGACCAGCTCCATCCATGTGATTTCCCGCGGAGCCTCCTTCGCCCTCAGCTTCCGCTCTCCTCCGCATTCTTCCTTCTGTCTCCATCTCCTTATCTGCGCCCATTCTTCCTCTCCCGTTCGGCCTCGGTTTCATTCTTTGTTGTCGGTAATCCAGGGGTGGTGTTCTCGTCCCTACCGTTCTTCGGGGCCTTGGCCAGTGGGGAAAATCAAACAATCCTGATCCGATTGTTTCCCCAACCTGACATCAGCCGCGCCTTGCACATCTTCTTGTCCAGCCTTTCCGGCCACGCAGCCTCATCACCTTCCTCGTAGACCGGAATCATTTTTCTTTCCATCATCATTTCATTCTCCCTGTGTATCTAGCTCCAACAACTTCCAATTCCGCCTCGAACATCTAGTGTGTCATCTACTCGGACCCCCGCGCAACCATGGCCTCCATGGAGGAGTTGGAGATCCATAGCAAAGTAAGGGGACAATAATGCACGCAGAGTCCCACCCCCCTCCAGAGGAACTGACACCTGCAGACTCTGGCGGGACTCTTGTATTTTTTTTTATATCCCTCAAAAAAAGACCCGTCCGCTGACTCGATCCTTTGATCTTCGCTCATGTCTAGTCCTACTTTGTTCGTTGGGTGAATGTCAAACCCGGCCACACCATCTCCTGGAGCATTCAGCCGCACAAGAAGTCCCTCAATTTCGGGATTTTCAAGCACCCCGGCCATTCCGCCGTCTTGGGCTCCAACGGAGACCCTCAGAGCACCAACTCAACCGAAAATCTGCCATCCTCCGCAAGCACGCGATCGAATTCCTCCGTCCCGATCCTCGACCGACTCGCTGGCTTCGGCTTAAAGCAGATCCGCTGGCTCGGCAAATGCGAGGCTGAGAAGATCGTCAAAGGCACCTACGACGTGCCCGCGAATGAGGGCGGAAATTACGCCCTTGTCTTCGACAACACCTTTTCCAAGCAGATCTCCAAGACCGTGACCCTCGTACTGCTCACCTACCCCACGGCGCTGCCTCCGCAGTCGGTACCAGTCCCACATGCCGCTAGTCAGCCCTCTCAGACGACGGAAGCCCCCGAGGCGGGTGCGACTTCGCGGCGACGGGGTAACAGTACGGCTAAATCGCTCCCGCAGACGATTGACTGCGATTCGGGCTTGATTCATACCGGTATCCTACAGAAGAGACGCAGGAAGCGGCACCAGGGGTGGGCAAGACGATTCTTCTCGCTGGATTTCAAATCCTCGACCCTGTCCTATTATCACGACCGCAATTCCTCTGCCCTGCGAGGCTCAATCCCCCTGTCTCTGGCGGCGGTGGCATGCAGTGAGAGCACGCGGGAGATTTCTATCGACTCCGGCACCGAGATTTGGCACTTGCGAGCAAGCAACGATGAAGAGTTCACCTCGTGGAAACGGGCCCTCGAGAAAGCCTCTTCTTCCAAGACCCCGGCCGAGGAGGTCATACCGCCGTCGCCGCTTCTGCGCGTGCCGTCGCAGCGTTTCGCTCCCCCTGTTGCTGACGAGCGCGAGTGGGGACGTATTGAAGGACTGGTCAGCCAAGTGTCGGGGTCCAGAGACCTCATTCGTCGGTTGGCCAGAGATACGGATCCGAAGTATATGAGCAGCGCCAATGCACTCGAGCGACCCCGTGGCCGATCTCCGAGCCCACCGCCTCGCGAACCCAACGGCGGTGATTCCGAATCTCGCGAAAAGCGTCCATTCTGGAAACGAAAGACCAGCTCGGCAGCCCAACAGGGTGGTTACAAACGGCCTCCGACCGCCGTTGCCGCGTCCTCGTCCTCCCAGTTGGCGGTCCCGGCTCCAGGAAGCGGCGGAGATACTGCTTCCCTCTCGGGTGATCGGAAACCGAGCAGTATTTCTAGTCACCCCGATCAGATTGAGGAGATTCATGAACATCTTCTGACCGTTCTCCGGAACTTGGATCATGCCGTCAACGAGTTTTCTACTCTGATCGCGGAGGGCAAACAGCGCCAACAGCGCCAACAGCGCCAACAGCAACCCATTATACCCATTCAATCCCGCCGCAGTTTTGAGTCGGACGTGTCGCAGGAATTCTTCGACGCCGACGACGGTGGCGACGGGTCTCCGCTGTTGACTATCCAGGACAGTGACGATGAAGGCGCCGACAGCACCAATAACGCCGACGCTGCGACGTCCAAGCCCGAGGAAGATGTAGTGATTGACGATGCACCTTCAGACAGCGAGGATGAAGAGTCCGACGTCCCCGCTCCCAATAGCGACCGCTTCTCCTCTTTGTTCCCCGTTCGTCCTAAGTCTCTCACTCCGCTGCCGCTCAGCAAAGTGCCTCGTCGCTCGAACATCCCCGCTCCCACGGTGATGCCTCCTAGTCTGATTGGCTTCCTCCGCAAGAATGTCGGGAAGGACCTGTCGCAAATTTCCATGCCTGTGTCTTCCAATGAACCGCTTTCTCTTCTGCAACGAGCGGCCGAGGTAGTGGAGTATTCGGCACTCCTCGACCATGCGGCCAGCGCTTCTGACCCTGTCGAGCGACTGGTCTATGTGACGGCTTTCGCCCTTTCCTCGCTGTCCAACGGCCGGGTCCGCGAGCGCGCTATCCGCAAACCCTTCAACCCCATGCTCGGCGAAACGTACGAACTTGTCCGCGAAGACCTCGGGTTCCGATTCATCGCCGAGAAGGTCTCGCACAGGCCTGTGCAGCTCGCGTACCAGGCGGACAGCAAGGACTGGAGTCTTTCCCAATCCCCCATGCCGACTCAGAAGTTCTGGGGCAAGTCAGCTGAAATCATCACGGACGGCAAAATGCGCCTGACCTTGCATACCACCGGCGAGCATTTCAGCTGGTCCTCGGCCACCTGTTTCCTGCGCAACATCATCGCCGGCGAGAAGTATGTGGAGCCGGTCGGTGAGATGTCTCTGGCCAACGAAACCAGTGGCCAGAAGACCGTCTCCGTCTTCAAGGCCGGCGGCATGTTCTCCGGCCGCAGCGAGGATGTCAGCACTAAGGCGGTGGACTCGTCCGGCCGCGAGCTTCCCCTGGGTCTCACTGGCACCTGGACTACCTCGCTCCAACTCACCAAGAACGGCTCGCCCACGAGCACCACGGTCTGGAAGGCCGGTCCGCTGGTGTCCAACGCACCCAAGCACTACGGCCTCACCACCTTCGCCTCGGCCCTCAACGAAATCACACCTATCGAAGAGAACAAGCTCCCTTCGACCGACTCGCGTATGCGCCCAGATCAGCGAGCCCTCGAGGACGGCGACGTGGACCGCGCCGAAGAAGTCAAGGTGAAGCAGGAAGAGGGCCAGCGAGCGCGCCGCCGCGAGATGGAAGCCGCGGGCGAATCGTGGACCCCACGCTGGTTCACCCGTGCAGATGATGACGGCGGCGACGAAGTTGCCTGGCGCTTGAAATCCGGCAAGGACGGATACTGGGACGAACGGTCTCGAGGCAGCTGGTCTAGTGTTACCCCGGTGTTTGAGCCGTAATGAAGCGAAGCGAAGTTAGTACGCTCAGCCGTGTTATCTACCCATGGATCTGGGAATTGTTGTTTGCTCATCTACTGTCTATTTCGTTGTATATCTCTCTCTTTTTTTCTGGGCGCGAGGCATAGAAAGCTTGAATGTGCAGGAACTGTTTGCTATTCGGTTTGTACATTGTGTTTCTTTCTTGTTTCTTGTTCTATCTTCGTGGTATGGTATATCTTCTCTGTTAGATTCATATACATATACATATATATCCCCCCTCGAATATTTTTCTATATTTCGGACCAATAGATTCTTCTATTTTCCTAGAGTGCCTTTTCTTTCAATCCTGTTTGACAAGTCCTGAAATCTGCATCTCAAGAGATATTAATCGCCCACAGAATAAATAATACATATACACCAAGAATCTCAGACAAATCGGTAGGAAATTTTCATCTAAAGTATTTCTGATTGTATGTCTTCTTCTTGCTCTGACAACATAACGAACAACGAAACGAGACGATACTGGTAAATTCTACCTCTTGTTGAACAGAAATCGTATCGAGAAACGCGAAGCACGAATATGAGACGTAACCAAACAAGGAAATAGAAAGGAAAGAACATTGAACAATGAGACAGATTAGTAGAAATAGAAACAGAAACAGAAACAAAACGCCCATCAAGTTCATTAAGCAATACTCGTATGTGCGTAGACTACCTCGTATTTTTTTTATTCATTCAACCCATTTTTTGGTAATCCCGTCGTATCATTTGTTTTGTTGAAGTTATTCTTCATCCGATTGTTGATGGACGGCCCATCGTCGGTTGTTGCGCGACTTGGCCGCTTTCTTGGCCATGCCTCGGTCTCGATCGGCCGGCGTGCTTTGACGGACCATGACGGGGAGACTGTCCAGGACCGCCCGGTTGCCTTGGTAGTAATGCTGCGCGAAACCGCCCTGGAGAATGCGACGCAGGGAGTTGAGTCGGATCCATTTCCACCAGCGGTCGATGTTCATGACGCCCTGGCGGCCGATCTTGACGGTAAGCTTGCTGCCGTAGTGGCGGTTGGTTTCTTGGTCGATGGCCGTGTTGTACATGGGTCCGCGCCGAGGGTTCTCGACCGTGGTCAGGATTGAGGCGAAGTTGCTGTGCAGGTTCTTCTTGTCTCGCTTGCTGATGTGTTTGCTGTGTACCGTGGCTAGCGACTGGAGTTGAGTTTCAAGCTCGTGGGTATTGTGGTAGGCGTTGTAGCGTTTGATCAGTTTGGGACCGTCGCGTTCGCCCTGCGTGCTCATGAACGACTCCTCATCGGACTCTTCCTGGCTTTCTTCGCTATCTTCGTCATCCTCCTGCGGGGTGTAGCTTTTCTCGTACAGAAGCGCGATGTTCTCGCCCGCGGCGATCTGAACCGCCGAGTCGCCGCTGTTCAGCTGGTCCATGAAGATCTGAATGGCGTCTTCACTTTCGCCTTCCAAATCGTCGATCTCGGTCGCCATGGCACCCCACTCTTGAAGAGCTGCCGTGACGCTTCCCGGCTCATCGCCAGCATCGATGGACTGTCCATCGGAGGCTGCAACGTCCAAAAGGAAGGTCATTTGGTCTAGGATGCCGTCTTCACCGGCACCTCCAAACATAGTGCATGTGCCGAGACAATGAATGGCGGAGGCTTTGACAACGTGGGAGGTCGAGTCCCTGATCGCACGACTGAGTAGCGCCTCGACATTTTCGTAAATAGTGTTGTCGAGCGCGGTGATAGTGAGGAGCTCGAGGGCGCGGAGTGCCAAAGTGGTTTCGCGCACGCTGTTTTCAAACTTGACGCTGCGGCAAAATGCGGCCAACAGATCACTTACCCGGAAGCGAATCTGCTCTTCAATGTAATGCCCTTTGGATAGGCGACAGAATGCGGCGTAAGCTTCTTCGCGACTCAAGATACTGCTGCGCTTCCGATCTAGAATGTCCTCGACGACGTCACCAAGCTCTTCCGCCCAGTTGGCGTTGTCAATTTCCGGGTTATCAGTCAGATCATCCAGAGAGCCAATACTGTCGGATAGAAATCGTCATTAGTAAACCTGCTTCTTTTTCTTTTCCTTTTTTTCTACTATGACATCATTCCGCCACTAGTAATCCGACAGGAACAAGAAAAAAGACAAAAAAAAAGGACGAGGAAAAGAAAAAGATGCTCACCTCAAGGCAGTGTCGTCGCTCAGATTGCCAAGATCCTCTTCGTCCGATGCATGTCTACTTGCGTTCTGAGAGGACTGTCGAGAATTCGGAGTAGAGTTTGCGCGTGAAATGCGACGAGAGCCTTCGCGCGAGGCAGCCTTACGAGAGACCGTCTTGCCGCTCTCGAAGACTTGACGACGCAAATCAGGCATGATGAGTGGCGAGGAGGATGGAAACGAGGACGAGAGGTTGGAAAGAAGTCGGGTGAAATTCCCGAAAAGTAAAAAAAAATAGAGACCGAGGAAGAGAAGTTGGTTGGTGAGTGATGGTTGTCAGTGAGTAAGAGTACGGAGTACGGAGTAGCCAAAGTGGTGTTAGACCCCGCTATGCAAAAGGTATGGATGTTGTCGACAGTAAGAAATATTTCTCCGATACAAAGGACATGATATAATCAATTTTGAAAAAGCGGATTTAAACACACAGTGGCGTAAAAAGAAGAGAGAAAGAGGAAGTAAGGAGAAGAGAGAAAAGGAAGAAAGGAAGGGAGAGAAAGACGTTCGTTTTTTAGATTTTGGGACGCGAACCCCGTGATCGCTTCACTGCCGATAAGGACAAAGTTGGCCCAACGCGACCGAGGGAGATGACCACGACACGACAGGTTTATTATTACTATTACGATCCTCTCCCTTCGAACCAGAAGTCGAGAAAGAAGGGAAGAAACAGTGGAAGGACGCATTATTCTGGGACTCTCTGCCAATGACAGTGCGCCTATCGCCACGTGATGCGGGGAGTGCTTATCGGGCCTCAGGCAGAAGATGACGTCCCCTCCGAGTCCCTCCGATACCCAATTAGAGTCTTAGAGTCTATACTCGCTGCATATCATTCAATAGTAATACGCTAGATGCAGGTCAGGATCGCCATCCTAAAATATAGTGCACCGTGAAGAAGTCTATTACCAAATGGAGGGGTATCTAATCTCGTCGCAAGCATACACACACAACCGTCCCAAAGCAAATCTCTCAACTCCGTTCCAACGCCAGTTCCAAGATCCTCCGCGATTTGCTACCCTCCAAGTACTCTCGACCTTCTCCCCGGTGATCGTCGTCGTAATCATCATCCCCAACCTCCAAGTCCACCTGTAGACTGGCCTCGTATGCTCCCATCACCGTCTCCTCGTCCACCCGGACGCCGCCGTGGACTAGGACACGGATACACTGTGCTAGTCGTGCAATTTCACGGCGTGTCTGCGGGGGTATATCGTCGTTCTGGCTGGAGTAGATAGAGCTCGACACCATCTCCTCCATGCGCGTGATGGAAACACTGTCGGTCGTAGAGGATGCGGCGGCTGTGTCTTCCGCGTGCTTCGAGATCCAAATGAAACCGTTCACTCCGAGTATGACATCCACGTCACCGCCCCCGTTGGCGGTACTGATGGTCCATACCTGCCGCCGAGATCGAACGACTCCGCCCGTGGTGCCGGCCGCAGCAGACCCGGTGCCGAGGCCGCCCTTGACATTCGAACTGGACGCGCCGCTACCACCGGTCCCGGTCACGGCGAGAAAGACACCGTTCCGGAGTTTGCCGTACTTCAGCGACCGTGTGTGTAGCGAGGCGGCACCATCAGAATGTACATTTTGAACCTCGGCGACCAACAGATCTCCCTCGCTGAAGAAAGTCCGGATCTGCAGCTCATCCGCACTCGTTCGTCGACGTAGGATACCACCTGGCAGGTTGATTGCGGAAAGTGGAAGTTGTGCAAGGAGAGGAGCGGCGACGTCTACCTTCCACCGGCGCGACTGGACCTCGACAATGCGGCCAACCACAAGGTCACCGATCTCCGGAGTATAACGGGCTCGAAGGGGCTGGACCGAGAGCAATTTGTTGGTTTTCTGGACGTTTCCGGCAACAGTGGCGATGATAGAGGTCGAGAGAGGGTTCATGTAGGTACCGTGTCCTCTATATACAGATGAGCTGGTGCCATTGGGAGGTGTAGCTGCAGCACAGCCGAAGATGGGGATATGGGTGGAACTAACCTCATCCATTGGGGGTCATCGGTCACGGTCTCACCGGGTGTGACAATCCCTGTGTTGCCTGCTAAAACTCCTACTATACCGGAGTGCTTGCTCGGTCTTGAACCTTTTCCTGCAGCTATTCCGACGCCGCCGTCCGAGTCCACGGACATCGAATCGACGTCGGAGTCTGAGGGGATATCCACCTCGTCCACAACTGGCGGAAGAATTGTAATGGCCATCCTTGATAATTGTCGCCTTTCGGAGGATCACTTATTAAGGTGAAATTAAGAATTTCCTTTTCAAGCAATTATGGGAAGTGGCGATTCTGATCGTTTGCCAGTCTGAACGGTTTGGCTTGAAAGAAAAGAAGACTTTCCCCATTTGACAAACAGAGCAAACGTCGTGTGGAGACACACGTGAATGCCAAGCCCTATCATGGTTGATCTCCAACGAAGACTTCTAAAGACTCGCTTTACACCGTACGTCTATTTCTCGATTTTAGCTAGTGATATCGGTGAGCGTATCAATAGGTAACAGTTGTAGTTCAACCGAGGGTTTACATTGGATACTTAAAATAAGATGCAAGAGGAACAGATCGACGGAACACGTCGGGAAACTAAGCAGGACATACGAAAAGGAAGCTAGAGATATTGTTGTAAAGAGACTGAGGCATCATTTAGATTTCACTTGGCCTTCAAAATCACAATAGAGATATCATATGCGAACGAAAATGAACAAATTATTCCCAATAGTATTACACAGGTACGGAGTATCGGTACAGAGCAGGCAGGCAGCATCAAGCTCCCACTCCGGAGGACCTCTTCGACGAGCGCTTTGCGGTCGAAGAGGGCTCTTCTTTCTTCTTTCGGTTGGAACGGCTGCCTCCGCCTTTGTTTTTACCGACGCTCTCGTCGTCGCGCTTGCGTTTGCCCTTGGCACCTGAAGGCGTAGGGCCGCCTTCCATCAAGACGCTGTCGTCATCATAGAATTCTTCATCCTTTCGAGCACCCCCGGTCGCTTTCTTGGAAGTGCGCAAGTTTGAAGGCCGGGAGCCGGACTTCTCAGAAGCATTCTCGTTGTCTTGTAGGAATATATGGGGTTGGTTCCTCCGTAACCAATTGTAAACTGAGATGGAATTTCGCAAACCCGCATCTCTCTCTCGATCGGCAAACGTCGCTTTCTCGGGGGCCCGGCTGAGCTGCAAGGCTGCAGTTTCGTCGCCCAGTTTAGCATCCACGGCCAGATAATGTTCCGTTTCGTGTTGTGGGGTGAAGAAACCAAGACTTTGCTCAAACCCGCCATCCGCCGAAACCTCTTCTTCCTCCATCTGTGGCAGAGTATGGGGGACTTTCAACAATGAGGTATAGTCTAACCGCGGCGTGAACGCTTTGCCCTGTTTGACAGCGTTTTCCAGGTCACGATAGCTTTCAGCGGTCATGTTGCCAGTCGCAACCTCATCTTTGGCATGTTTTAGCATCGACTGTGCTGCTTCCGGGTCGTTGTACGATGGGGAAACTTGTGTTTCGTCCTTTGGCATAAGGGTGTCATCGCCAGAAGCACTCAAGTCGTACCGCAATTCGGGCGAGATGTGAAGGCTGTCGTTGAATTCCAAAAGGACTTCTAGAAGCTGGCTGCACTGGAGTCAGACGAATGATCGCGCAAAAGACAAGTAGGGAAGGGGGGGGGGGGGGGGGTGAATAATGTCAACTCACTCATTTTGCTCCTGAATCCGGTTTGAGAGATCCTGAATGCGCAATCCCTCCCGAACAAGTAACTCGCTATCCCTCATCTGTAGTTCGAACTTGACCTTAAGTTTCGCGAACTTTTTCCTGTGAGTGGATTAGGTATGAGATGTTGCAAGGTCGCACATGGTTGGACCTACTTGAAAGATCGGTATGACTGCTTGGTAGGGGCATCAGGTAGGCTTTCAGCGACAGAGCGAGCATCGTCGCCGTCTTGAGACATAATGAAAATGGAGTGACTAATGACCTCTAAGACAAGACAATGTTTCCAAAAACAAGAATTTGAGATCGAAGGATTCAAGGTGAAAAGGAGCTGAGCGACGATGGGATTGAGATGGGCAGAAGCACAGCGTTAGGTCTGGGATGGACGGAGGAGACGGAGACGCAGCTCGCCAAGTCCTGGACGGAGAAGCCGACGGGGGCTGGGCGGCCGCTTTCTGCCCGTCTTTTTTTTTTTTTTTAAAAAAAAAGCCGACCAGTATTGTTCTTATCCACTCGACTTTCTCCTCACACACCTGCTTGTGACTAGTCTTTATATAAACATTTCTTCTTTTTGTTCTCTTTTTACATTCGCTTGCCCTCCAATCATTCTAATTCATCGAAAGAACTACACTCAAAATGGGTGGAATTGGTGAAGGAACTCACAAGAAGCGCAAGTTGCCTGAAGCGAACGAGATCGAGATTGATGTCTCTGCTCCTGAGCCTCCGTCCAAAAAGGCACTGCGCAAGGCTAAGAAAAACCCCTCCGAGGCGAAATCAGAGACGGCCGCGGAACAAACTTCAGAGGCCCTGGTGAACGCCCAGAATGCTGCAGAGAAACGCTCTGATTACGGGGTTTGGATCGGAAATTTAGCGTTCTCCGTGACCAAAGATGATCTTCGCCGGTTTTTTACAAGCAACTGTTCGTTTGCCGAGACCTCCATTACACGAATCCACATGCCGAAAGGCGCGGAGAAATTTGGGAAGACGCAGAATAAAGGGTTTGCCTACGTCGATTTCTCCACCGAGAGGGCCCTCAAAGAGGCCTTGGGGCTGAGCGAACAGCTCGTGACCGGACGGCGGGTATTAATCAAGGATGCGAAGAGCTTTGCGGGAAGACCGGAAAAGAAGGAAGGTCAACAATCCGGCGCCCAGGCTGCATCTGGCCATCCTCCCTCGAAACGCATATTTGTCGGTAATCTCAGCTTCGACACTACGAAGGCAGACATTGAAGAGCACTTTGGGCAATGCGGAACTGTGGCACATGTACATGTGGCGACTTTTCAGGACTCTGGGAAATGCAAGGGCTATGCATGGGTGCAGTTTGAGGAGCTTGCGGCAGCGGAGGCGGCGGTGAGAGGGTTCATGATGGTTAACGAAGACGACGAGGATGAGGGAGATTCCGCATCCGAGACCGAGCAGCCGAAAAAGCCCATGAAGCCGAGACAGAGAAGGGTGTGGGTAAATATGCTTCTAGGTCGACGTATGCGGACGGAGTTTGCAGAAGATGCGTCTGTCCGTTACAAGAAGCGATTCGGCAAAGACAAAGAAGCCAAGGGAAATGATTTCGTGGAGGAGGCCAGCGGGGCTGACAATTCAGCCGAGAGGCAGCCAGCCCGACCTGCAAAGTCCAAAAAGCCGGCTTATTCACGGTACGATGAGGGAACCGTGCAAAAGCTGAGCGGTGCGATTGTCGAAGCCCAGGGAAAGAAGACCACCTTTGATTAGGTTTTCGGCGCTGGATGACAGGGAAAAAGCCCAAGGGAAGGGAAAGACAATCTAACAAAGCCTCCCGAGGAGAAAAAAAAAAAAAAAAAGAGAGATGACAAAAGAATGACTTCCTTACCCCCTTAGAACGGCCGGGGAGAATCTTGCTGGATCAATGAATCCCTTGCCGGAGAAAGGTGCAAGATTAGGCGGTATAACCCTGGCCGTTTTTCTGGTTTAGTTGCCATCACGACAGCGTCCTCTTCCCAGTCTACAACAAACCTTGCTTAGCCACGGTCAGCAGTCTGCTCATAAGTCCGTGCTGTCCAAATCCTCGACCTCTGATACCCAAAACCAAAAGTTACTCTGGCGTGTTCTCACCATCGTATGTGTGCTTTGTCGATCGATATTCTGTGATATGTATTTGTTAGAATCAATCAGCATCAATAATCAGCATCCATAAATGAAGACAAGACGAGGTTTCCACGGAGCAGCAGGGTGGGAAGTACGGAGTAGATCCGCGCAGACAGACGTGGATGATGCAGCATCACCGACAGAGGGGCTTAGTCAGCAACAGGCTTGTCGATCCCTGCGACGCGGTTAATACGTGATGATAACGAAGACGATAACAAGAAAAAGAAAAATTCAAGCAAATCTAAAAAAAGCCTAATCCAAACGATCGGATTTGGTGGTTGATCAAGTCCCACCTCCGTTTGGAGGTCAGGTCGACAGCCTCGAGATGATCTCGAATCAGCAATTACATGGTTATAGTAGAAAAGTAGTTGTACTGAGGAGAGTGAATTGGTTCTAGAATCGCTGATGTGGTTTGGGTAGGCGCTAACCCGATTGGGCCGGTTGACATCGAAAGAGATGTCATGGCTCATCGCCAAAACCACCAAATCCATTGCTTCTCCTCAACTCTCCCACCTTCCTCCGATCCTCCTCACCCTCGTTCCCCGGGTGCATCGTATTCCCATCAATATCCCTTATCCTAGTCGCTCGTCCATCCTATCGATCGTCCGTTACCCACTTGGTTCACTTTGGACTGTTTCGTTTCCGCCCGCCGTGGCCCTTCCTTGCAGGCCGCCGGTTTCGCCGCAGTTTCTGGTCTTTGCTTCCCCCCAATACCGAAAACCCTCTGAACCGCTTGCCAGCTGCGCCATCCTCCTACTCGACACCGCCTACGTCTACCTTCCCGTCAGATCTATCATTACCTATATATCCGCGTGAATGGCTCCGCGTCGTCACCACATCGGTGCGAGCCGGCGGACAAGGCGAGAAGAAGAGGGCGAAGATGAAGGCTCGATAGGTGGGGAATTGGAGGATGACTCCTTAAGCGAAGCGTCGGGTATCAGTCACCAGGAAGACGACGATGCCGATGGCGAGGGAAGTGATGATAGCGATGATGAGGTGTCGATACCCCCGCAGGGGGCCGACACCAATGGCCATCCGATCAATGGTCGTATGCCTGAGGCAGGTCAGCAGTCGGGGAGGCGCCAATCTATCTCCCCCGACAAACGGGCTGCGACCAACGCTATTTCCGACACCGAGGCTATGATGAATGGGATGAAGATATCGGGGAAGACAGACGAGGTGGCCGAGATACATTTCGACCAGATGAAGGGGGAGACGAGCCAACCGACTGGAAGGACGCCGTCCGCGCCGCCCACGGAACCGAGGAGAGAAACCTTTGCCGAGAGGAAACGTCGTGAGCATGAGAAGTACTCAAAGGAGAGAGACGAGAATCCGGCGTTCGTGCCAACGCGGGGAAGCTTCTTTCTTCACGATAAGCGTTCTACGGAGTCGATGGCCAATGGTTACAAGCCGTTCAACAAGTCGAAATCGAGGCCTTATGGCCTGATTGTGGACGGCAATGTGCGCAAGTAAGTTTATCATGCCCTACGCCTTGTTCCTCTATGAAGAAGCCGTGTTAACCTACCCGTGAGCAGACATCCCGTGAAACCAGCTGCCAGCGGAGGGCAGTGGACTCATGATCTCCACGACACAGTTGCTGGAGATGACCCGCCCGCTTCTACATTTGCTGCTGCATCGACCGCTATCCCCAACCACCCTCCCAAGCCTGTCCCTACGGCTCCCAGGTCATCGCCACCAAACAGATCGTTTTCGAGTACGACCCTGATTGGGAACGTGCCCGTGGTGGTTTTCCTGCCGGGAATGACTAGCTCCGCTTCGTTTCCTGCGGTGGCGAAAAAACAGCATACACGTTTACCCCAGCACCGGCCGCCTCTTCGTCGAGACAAACCCGTTCGGATTTCGCTCCCGGGACAAGCTCCCAGATACATATTTCCTGCTACGGAGAGATCATTCATATTCATACCGCGGGCATTGCGACCGAACCAGCAGGCTTTCCGTGGTCGTGGTCGAGGAGGGTTCTATGGAGGCCGACGCTCAAGTATCTACGGCGGCTCCTCCTATACGCCGAGTGTCTTGATGAGCCGAAGGTCGTCGGTCGGAAAAGCAGCCTCGCAAGAAGGCTATCACTCGCCGGCCGGTTCGGTCCTCTCGCGTCAAACGATAATGACAACGGAAAATGGCAAACCGGTAGTCCGGCTTCCACCACCTCGACCCCCTGGAGGCATTCCACCTGCAGGTGCCAACGCAGTAACCGCTCATCCCGCCATGCCGCTTCCTCTCCCTCATCCACAGACTCTGAATCCCGCTTATCGTGAGAGCCGCCCGGCTCCAATACCTATGCATCAGCCTCGTCCCCAAAAGGCGGTTTCTGTAGCCGATATCGAGACGCCGGCGAGCTTTACCTTCAACCCCCCTCAGCCACAGCAGGAACAGCCGTTCCATCACCAGGTGCCGATCCCCGGGAATGGCCCCATGTATGTTCCGGAGACTTCTGGTCCTCTCCCTTCTGCTCATTCCGCCGTGACCCCGTCATCCCACATACCCGATCGTGCGATTCACGCCCAACCGTTCCAACCATACGGATTCCAGCAACCCCAGCCCTACTATCCGGCACCCTATCCGACCGGCGCTGTTTACTATCCTAATTCCGGGGGTGAGTTCGCGCCGTACAGCGCCGGCGCGGGTCCAGGCACCTCGGTCTCGTCATTCCCTCCCGGGCAACACCCTCAGTATATGGTTCCTGGAGCCCACGCATCAACGGAGCAGTCATCACAAGCGGGGACTGTTGCACACGAGGCCGGTGGAACGGTGTACTTCTATGACGCGACGCAGATGTATCCGAACTCGTCTTTTGCTGTGCCTAATGCTCCCGGTCCTGGCGGAATTGTTGGCATGGGTGGCATGATGACTCCTCCCGGTCCAACTTATTACTACCCTCAACCTCCCGGGGGCGTTTACTATGCTTCCCAGTAGTGGGAAAGTAACCAAGCAAGGAAGAACGGCAATCCCATTTGTGGAAGTAACGGGGTCCCTCCACACTTATGTCGCCTCGTTTTTGCGAACATCATTCTTCACTCCCATCACTTATTGCATGCTATCCTTCCATTGATTTATTTCCCCATCGTGTGAATCTTTTTTATCCCCAATCTTTTTCTGCTTTTCTTTTTCTCGATAATGGTTCTCTTTCTTTTCATGGACATGTCAAGTATTCGATTTTTTTTCTCTCTTTTTTTTTTTACTTGATCTTACGACCTTTTCCTTCTTTTATCGCCCTGTTTTTTCATGGCCGTCTCGTCTTGCCGGAGCATTCTTTTTTACTTCCCATCTTTATTGTCCCTTTTTCTGTTTTTGTCTCATTTTCAGTGTTGGTCCGGGGCAAGGTCTGGTGCCAGTAGCCGGCGCCTCGCCCTATCTGCCTGGCTGCAATGTGGTTAGATTAGGATCCCATGCATTTACTAGCGATTGTTTTGTTCGTCTGCCGTGATTTTGTGTGTATGGGGATGCCTTATGATTTGTATGGATACCGTCTCTTTTATGATAGGGAAGGATGATTCGGCAACGCCCTCAACGCAGAAGTATTTCTGACTCCTTAGCTGGCTCCAGGCCATGAAACACTCCAACCCGGCGAGTCCTCGATTCCCCCGCTTTTGTTGGCTGCAGGGATCCCTACGTAATTGTGCATTGATGATCCCAAAGGTCTCCGCCACCGTCCTTTGGTCGGAAAGGTGATGTGTTTCTTTTTTTTTCTCCTTTTTCTTTTTTCCTGTTCTATTTTAAAAATTTCAGTTTGATCGGTTTGCTTTGCAATCATGCAGGAAAGGACAAATTGAGAAAAGAAAAAAGGGGGGGACTGTTCCGGTTGATCGTGGTTCTAATGACCTGTCAGAAACGGGGAACGAGAAGGTGATGGAGAATCTATATAATTTTAGTATCATTTTAGTCGGCGATCGATCTTAAGTTCCGGGCACGCACTGTGGATGGGAATAATTACTAATGACTTCATTCCTCTTATTTTCCTGTGCATGTAGGAATGTTCCTCTTTCTCCCCTACTAGGGACCAGACATACATCCTGGATGTAGATCCAGCCGAGGAACCGGAAAGTATGACCGCATATTTGTAATTTGCCCAACGGTACATGCCGTGCCGTAGAGCTGGCGGTATAGCCAGAGGTACTTCTGGGGGGGCAAACCGCCAACCAGCCGCCGGGAAGCCGCCTCACCGCCTCGACCGGAAGCAGTCAGAGCAGATGACCGCCAGGCAGCCAATTCTCTTAAACTCGTCATTCAAACTCTCGGTCTCTTCCACTTTTTCGTCTTCTCCTTTTCCATCTCATCTCTCTCTTCCTTCCTTCCTCCCTCTCTCTTTATATCTATCCACCCACACCCCCCTCGTCTCTGTCTTGTCCCCTATCCGTTGGTTCTTCGCTGCATTGCTCACCATACCCGGCCCTACTCTATCCATCCTCTGCATCGGCATCCATCCCCTGCCCTTGCCTTATCTCGTCCTCGTCTCTCACTAGCGTGCCGTCTTCCTTATCATCACCATCATCATTACTACATCTGTTTTCCATCATGTCAGCTCCTCATCCCCCCTCTGCGGTCACTCCCAATACCATCATCACCTTGAAGGTGCTTCATAACGGGAGCAATCGTCGCTTCAAGGTTCCCTTGAGAGAGCTGGGGGCTCGGGTTCTGCCCCAGAAGGTATGCATGTCCCCACCCGCCAGCCCCGACCGGGTCCTTTCCCACCCTTCCCCATACTCCCTCTCTCTACATCAGCCCACCCGTCACTAGGGCTGTTCATCTCTTCCCATTCTATTTCCAACTATCACCTAAAATCCAGGGCGGATGGTGCTCTACAATCACAGCTCCCATAAACATGCGATCGTCAACGCCCGTCATCTAACTTGCTTGATTGGTACTAATGTCTTTGAATCATGTCATAGCTCCGCCAACTTCTTGGCATCCCGGATGATGTTAACGTCATCTTCGAGCGCTTCTCCGACAGTGCCGGTTCTTTCGTCCTCTTGGACAGCGAGAACCCCGCCATTTACAAGCAACTCTACCGTGCTGCCAAGGCTAAACTGAAGCTGCGTCTTCGGGCCACCGTCGTGGACGAGGGCTCTCAGCCCCAGCTTTCCGAGGAACAGCAGCAGCAGAAGTATAGCTACCTTGATACCGTCCTCAGCTCTCCGCTGCCCGAATCTCAGGGTGAATCTTCTCTAGCCATGCCAAATGAGTCGGCGGACAACACCCCTGATATGGTAGAATGTGTAGACAAGCCTGCCGGCGCTGAGCGACAACCCATTCAGTTGTCGGACACCTTTACTGCTACTCAGCCTCAGTACCGCGACTTCGTGCTAGGCCAGGACAACTTGGATAGCCCTATTGTCTCTCACAAGTCCTTGACGGGGGTTTATTGTATTGACTGCAATAACTGCGGTCGGTCTATTCCTAATGAACACTACCACTGCAGCATTTGTGAGGATGGAGATTACGATCTGTGCCTTGATTGCGTTGAGAACGGAGTCACCTGCCCAGATGAGGACCACTGGTTGATTAAACGAGGCGTCAAGAATGGGGTTGTCACCAACAGCATTACCGAAAAGGTTCCTCCTCGAGCGGTTCAAGCCGAGTGCCGAGAATCTGACTCCGTCCCTGAACTCGTTTCGGAAGAGGCCCCTCGCGCTCTGCCCCCTGTGCCAGAGCCGGTGGTCCATGCCGAGGAGCGTATCTGCAACGGCTGTCTCAAGGGTATGTAGGAGTCCTCACTCCCCTCCCTTTAGAAATCCATTTTTTTTCCCGATCAATGGACGTTAGGAACACCGGCTGACCTGCACTAGAACTCGACGAGACCAAAATGGTTACCTGTGCTGATTGCGAGGACTATGATCTTTGTATCACCTGTCTCCTGAAGGACACGCATGGCCATCACCCTGCTCATACATTTTCCCTGCTCCATGACCGGCAATTCTGCCTGAAGAACATGGTGTTGTCTCGTTGCAAGCCTGGACGCCATCATCAGCATGCCGCCATCTGCGATGGGTGTGACAAGGTAAGGCCTGGTCTCCCCAACCTCCCCATATCCGCATCTGGACGCTAGCTTACATATCTCATCAGAGCATCATTGGTGTGCGTTACAAGTGCCTCACGTGCCCCGATTGGGATTTCTGTTCCATCTGCCACATGAATGCATCCGACCGCCACCCAGGCCATCGATTCGCTCCTCTATACGAATCTATTGCCGAGCCACTGCCATCTCACGAGGTTCACTTTGGCATTTTCTGTGATGGCCCCCTTTGCAAAGCTCAGTCGCGATCTACTTACATCACCGGAACTCGCTACAAGTGCTCGGTGTGCTACGATCTTGATTTCTGCGCCAAATGCGAGGCCCTTCCGACCAACTTCCACAACCGCACTCACCCCATGGTCATGCTTAAGACCCCCGTGCGAAACGTCACTGTAAGCACCCTCCAGGAAGACAAAGTCGACAAGCCGGCAGTCTCCTTAGGTGACCCGGTCCAAACGTCCACTCCCAAGCAGGCTGTTTCAATGCCACCGGTGCTTGAGGCGCCCACCCAGGAGACAACCCCCGAGAAAGCAGTCGTCGAGGAAGAGAAGATCGCGACCGAGTCGCCTTCAACGGAGCCCATCCAGCCTGAAGAGCTACCTACCAGCGATCCAGCCTCGAGCTACCAGGCTTTCTTCATCCGTGACACAATTCCTGATGGTTCTATTGTGTCTCCAAACAAAGTTTTCCAGCAGACCTGGACACTCTACAACCCTGGCCCCCTTGCTTGGCCCGTGGGTAGTGATGTGCGCTTCGTTGGTGGGGACTCCATGTTCAACGTTGACACGAACCACCCATTGAGCCTCAACTCGATCTCTGCTGCCATGGAGAGCAACAAACTTTCGGAACCATTGGAGCCCGGAAAGAGCGCCGACTTCACTGTGACGCTGAAAGCCCCTGGCCGGGTGGGCACCGCCATATCGTACTGGAGACTGAAGCTGTCAAATGGCATGCCATTTGGCCACCGGTTGTGGTGTGACATCCAAGTCCAGGACGATAAACCCTCTGCGGCCAGCCCCGCTCCTTCGGAGTCGAAGGCCGTGAAAGAGGAAACCCACCAGGATAGCACCATGACAGGTCGTGATGATGAACGCAGTGGAAGCCAGATGATCTTCCCCAAACTGGACAAGGAGTCGCCGGACTCTAGTACCCACGAAGCGGTGGTTACGGCCCCGGCGGCGCCCTCTCTCTCTACTGCATCCGAGCGGGATGTTCTCGAGGACGTTGAGAACCTGACCCTAGGTGACGACGACATGGAAGCCGGATTTTTGACTGACGAGGAGTATGATATCTTGGATGCCAGCGATCAGGAGTACTTGGACGCTCGGTCCGCCCGGCCTTGATTGGTGTGGGGCCAAGAATCATTTCTAATAATCTCTTTGTTTTCTTTTTATTCTTTTTTTTTTTTTTTTCTTAAATCAACCCTCAGCTCTTCAACCAGTTTGACATTGTTCCCGTCCTTTTCCTTTTTCTACGTTTATGGAAATAGGGGAGTTGCCATTGAAACTGACGGATGGAAAAATGTTCTCTCCCCTCTTCCACTCTCAAAGTCAAAGAGGGTGGAGTTAAGCTGCTGCTGTAATTGGTCGTAGTCTTTTCTACTTTTTGTTTCATCACGGACTATTTACTTTTTGCTATGAGGAATATCATTGCCTAGCTCCTTATTCACTCTTATGATACCAAGCACATCGTGACATCGTACTTCGGAATAGGTTACGTAGTATTTTTCGGTCTCCACATCCAATTCGAACCGAGGGATCTTCGGATTCTTTCCTCTGTCCCACAACACGAGAGAGCTTGTACGGAGTATATCTCCGACACAGTGTGACATGGTGACCCTGGTCCAGTAGTGACCTGTAAGCACTGATAGTCCCGAGGATAACTGATTGATTGATTCAAAATCCGGCCGCGGCAGGTGTCACAGCACTGCCAGCCATCCATCAATGCTCCCTTGACCCTTCGGCTTCCAGTCTCCACTACCTCCCTCGACAGACAACAATCGTCGTCCTACCGTTGGAGTAGACGTCACGAATCACGATTCCCACAAGAGTATCCACAAAAATGGAGGAACTCCACTTCGGTGCATAATAGGAAATGGAATGGGGGAAGAAAGAGCTGCCGTCGGCACATGTTTCTCACACGCCCCCGCACGCTACTGGGTGGTTTCTTTTGTTCTTTCTCCCTCTCTCCCTCTCTTCTTTCTTCTTGGTCATCTCTTCTCTGCACAGAGCCTGGTTGTTGGTTCTCTTTTCAGTTCTCCGGCACAAGTTCACGCACAACTTGCAAGCTCCAAGGTCGGTCTCGATTACCTCGATCTAGGCGAATAGTACCACCATCGCTGCGACAATGGGGTGGCTCATCCGCCTGGCGATTCTTTGCGCCTTCCTCGCAAGGTACTATACCCCGGTCGTCCACTATCTCACAGTTTTTGGGGTATCCCGAACACCGACCCCCGCGGTGCGACTGGCCACGGAACCGTCCTTCGTGAAGATCGAGGATACGGTGGTGTGCGAGGATTTGCACTATTATGAGCCAGCTGGGAAGATCTTCACAGCGTGCGAAGACCATTATGCTTCGCGTTTCCAGTGGTTTCCTCCGTTGGGACACCTGGAGGGAACCGGGGAGACAGTTGGGTCACTCCATGTCATCGATCCCAAGGTGAGATTTGTCTTTCCATGACTAGAAATCCTAGAAAAGGGCCTGGGCTGATTGGGGAATTGATTGGGGCATGGCCGAGTAGACATTGGTATCAAGCCGTTTGAAGTTCCAGAATTTCCAAGGCCCGTTCGTTACGCATGGAATCGACGTGATTGCGGATCCCACCCGGTCTAGTGCTGTCTATATCTTTGCGGTCAACCATTTGCCGAATCCGGAATATGATGGAACGGGGCACACTTTCAAGGCCCGCTCACAGATCGAGCTTTTTCACCATGTCCTGGGCTCCGGGGTCGCCAGACACGTACGTTCGATTCGCCATTCATCGATCGTCACGCCGAACGACATTTATGCCGAAAGTCCGTCCTCCTTTTATGTCACAAATGACCACTACTACCGCCACGGTCTGAAACGAATGATTGAAGATGTGTCCCCGTGGGCTCAATGGACCGACGTCGTTCACGTCCGGCTGGAGCAAATGGAATCCGCAGATGCGGAAGCTGGAATCAATGCAACGACAGCATTGACGGGGATCCGAACGAGCAACGGTATAGGTTGCGGTCGGAACGAGGAAGAAATGCTGGTATGCAGTGCCCTTGGTGGGATCATGTACCGGGCCCGAGCGGATTCCGAAAGTCGCAGTATCTCCATTGTGGATGAATTTCGATTCGACAGCACGATTGATAATCCTAGCTACTTTGTTGACCCTTACCGGACCCCTTCCCATGACGCCAGCGGGTATGTTCTGGCCGGCCTGCTAGGGGCTGCGAACCTTACACGGTCCCATGGGGACCCCAACGCTCGGGATGGCGTTATGGTTTGGCATGCTCGACGGAAGGCGATGGCCAATGGGACGACATCCGCAGACTGGGAAACTCGCCTTATCTTCGAAGACGACGGAAGTAATATCCACACCGGCAGCTCGGCCGTTATGGTGCCAACTGATTCGGCCAAACGAGCGCGACTGTTTGTAACCGGCTTCTCTTCGGAACACATTGTTGCAGTCGAGGTGGAGCTATAGCGTAACCCTTACTTTCTCTTTTTTGTTTCTTTCCTCTTTTCCTTTCTTCTCCCTCGAATGCGCCAAGCGCGCCGAGCATAGCGGAATGCGAGTTCTTCTTACCACTGTGCGCTTGGTGCATGATATTGAGTCCAGATGAGGCAGAATAGTTCGTTACGGGCTTAACATTGGCTCTTTTTGCTAGTAGGATATCCACTTCATATGGGATCTAGTTCAATCAGGGTTTCTTCTCAAGGCTTTTAATCACGTCCGCGGTGCTCATGACCTCCGCGAATTCCTCCTGCAGACTAGCCACGGAAACGGCATGAATGGTCTCGGCATCGATACCGGCCTTGGCAAATGTGGCCGTCGCGTCCGCCACAAGGATGATTCGTCCGTGGTCGATAGGCACAGGGTCCTGCTGGCCGGACTTGGCATCAATGGTGATCGGGCCCTCTGGGAAGTGGTCCACCACTCCCAGGTTTGCTGCCATGCGCGTTGTGGTTGAGACGCAGTGATCTGTCGTGAGACCGGCCAGGATAATCTGGCGGATTCCGCGGGATCGAATGTGCGCCTCCAGGTCGGTTCCGATGAAGCTAGAATTGACGTGCTTCCACATTACCGGTTCGGATCCATCAGGCGCAGGTTGGGCGAAGTCATAGGGTCGAATACCGTTGTCCGGGTGGTCGGCATGGAGCGGGGACACGGGCGAAGCGGAGGAATGGAGGATGTGAATGACCTCGAGATTATTCTTGTTATCCCCGGAGGACTGCTGAATGGCGGCGCGAAAGGCCGTCAAGAGCGACTCCAGATTGGCCTCGTAGGAGGGGTTGGAGCGGGAGGTACCCCAGTGAGTGGGGTGGTTGAAACCATACTGATTGTCGATCAGAATGAGGGCTGTGGGGAGGGAGAAGGAGAGAGACATTTGGGTTCTTGAAGGCTCTGAAGAGCCAAGCGGAGGAAAGAAGAGTATTGGGTATGTGGAACAATAATAGCATTGACCAGATGGACAGATGTGCCCAAAGACGGTCTTAAGTAAGTTCCAACCCAAATCGATAGAGATGAGTCAGAAATTAGGTACAGACTAGATAAATGTGTCCGGTTGCAATCCCAAGGTAAGACAGGGTCTTAACAAAGGGACGATCACGGAAGAGACGAGGTGCCATTGGATGGACTGATGATGTCAAGAGGGACGAGTGAGGAAAGACGACGAAGATAAGAAGCCGGTTCCGCTTGCATCCAGTCGCCGTGAGTGCCTGGGTGCCTAGGAGCCGGGGGGTCTGGGGGGGCCTGAGTGCCTTACTGCCTTACTGCCTCAGGCCTCCATCCAGATCGGTTCGCTCAACTTTCTTTCTGTCTCCCTGCTTCCTCATCCTCTTCTTCTCCGTCCCATCGACTGAAAACCCATTCCCCCTTCTTCCATCCCGATCAATTGCTTCAGTCCTTCTTGATCACACGGTCTGCCGGAATGTCGGTCTCTCTCGCCCCCCGCAGGGCGCTCTTCGCTCGTTCTCCGCCATGCGCTGTCGCCCCCGTCGTCTCTCTACTACGGCATCGTGAGATTCTCTCGCCGCGCCGCTATGCTTCACATTCCTCCTCCAGCAAATCACATGTTCGCCCCTCCTCATCCGCCCAGCCTGCCGACTCTGTCGCTCCCTCGACGTCCGGCACCGCCACCACCTCCCTCGCCGACGATATCAACCCGCCCCCGAGCACTCGCCCAGCCGACCTGAATCTCCCCGAGGCCATCGCGTCCTCTGCTTCGGCGGCCGAGAAGCTCAAGCGCTACGTGGCCATGGGCCGCGCATACCTCTCCTTCTACAAGACCGGTCTGAAGAACGTCTACCACAACTACCGCGCCTCCATCCCCCTCCGCTCCTCGCTCGGCCTCACGCCCTACCTCCCAGTCTCCCCGCCGCCCGCGGCCACCGGTGGCAAGGCGGCCGCCTTCCGCGACGCCGTCCACGCCGTGTCCCTCAGCCGGTCCAATTTCCAGCTCGTCCGCCGCGCCGCCTACGACATCCGTCGCATGATCCCCTTCACCCTGATGCTGATCGTCTGCGGCGAGTTCACCCCGCTGATTGTCCTGGCCCTCGGCAGCGCCGTCACCCCGTTCACCTGCCGCGTGCCGCGCCAATTGGAGAAAGATCGCACGCAGAGTCTTGCTCGGAAGCGTGCGGCGCTGACAGCTCATGAGGTCGCCCGCTCCGGTTCCATGAAGCCGGTGCCCGCGGGCTCCGAGCCCGAGCTGGATCTGCTGGCCCGGACATACACCCGCCCCGCCTGGATCGAGTCGGCGCCGGCCGAGGAGATTCTGCGGGCATGTGCTACCTTGGGTCTGGCGAAGACGCATGCACGGTCGACCGCTTTGGTGTCGCTGCTGTACCGGACGCGTCTGCAGCGCTACGCCCAGTACTTGGATCTGGACGACGGGTTGATCCGGCGCTGTGGTGGCGTGACAGCGATGGATGCCTCGGAGGTCCGGATTGCGGTGGAGGAACGGGGCGGAGTTGGTGTGGGCGAGGGGAGCGAAGGATGGGATCTTGAGAGGGAAGAGAGACGGTGGTTGGAGAGATGGTTGGAGGGGAGAGTGAACTGACCTTGACACTTCTGTTTTCAATTGTACATATACAAACATCTCGGATACTTTGTTTCTTTGTATACTATCTAGTATAGATTAAAAATGGGTTGGATTTAGGAACCTTATATAAATAGCATCTTTTGATTTTCATTCTCGGTGTTTCCAGTGCCGGAGAGAGAAAAACAACTTTATAATGTACATTTCAGAAAGCGACAAAGGGCGCGTTCCAACTCAACCCGTTCATGGGTCATTGCAATTTTTACCTTGATATATAACGCTTGCAAGGTGGCAATTTATACGTTTACGTCCAGATTTTCAAAGTCAGGACACAGAATATATGCAGCAAAGCACATCGTCAGCTGGCGGCGGGCTGGGCCTGTTGTGCCTGTTGTGCCTGCGCTGCCGCATTCCGAACCTGCTTGGCCCATCGGAGTCCGCAGCTGTTGCAAAGATCGCGATTTCCGCTGGGTCCTCGCCGCCATTCGGGCGTTCGCTTGGTCTTGCATATCGCACAGCTCTTTTCCGCCAACACGGTGCTCAGCTTGCGCTTGCGCTTCTTTCTCCGCGTGAGCAGTCGCTGCAGTTCCTCGGATAGGGAGCGGTTCTGTTTCTCCAGGTCACGCAGCTCTAGCTGCCAGCTTGAGCCTCTTGTTGGTATCAGCTCGGTGAAGAGAGTCTCCTGGGTGGATGGGTCGCGCTGGTTGCCCGACGGTAATCGACTAGGTGCGGGCTGAGTCTGAGCAGGTCGATTCAAAGATCCCGGGGAGGCACTCGCCGGGGGCCTGGGGAAAGTGATCTGCGCGACTAGAAAAGAAGGTTTCATCCCTTCTTGAGTATCTCCCGGGTACAGCGTGGTGTGCACCGGCAGCATATGTCCCTTTCGATGACGGATTTTATGCGCGAAAGTGGCTTTTTGGCCATTTCGAGACAGTCCCAGAGCACGCTGTGCCTCCCCGCGCGCATCAATCAGATCTTGGATGCCTTTGCCGACCAGGGTATCCGGCATCCGGCCTAGGACGGCCCGCGCTTTCGAAGACATGAAGAGAATGATTCCCGAATTGGACAATTTAGCCCAGAGGTCGTTTTCAGCCAACTCGCCACGTCCAAGCTTCGCGACCTGATCTAGGTTATAGATTGGACGAACTCTCCCGGATAAAACCATGAACTGTCGTCTCCGATCCGAGATGTGCCACGAGCCGTGGCACTCAAACCAGACATACCCACCGTGCTTCCTTCGGATCCGATACACCATGCTGATCGGGTCCGTGGTCGTACAAGCGCGCATATCACGGACCACGGGGCCGATGTCACTAGGATGGCACACTGTCGACAAGGTCTTGCCCACCAACTCGGAGGGCTCGTACTCTAGGATATTTCGGCAGGACGCTGACAGATAGAGAAATTCACTCTCGAATGAGAGAACGTGGATTACGTCGTCGGCATTCTCGACTAATACCCGTTCCAGATACATCATGAGATTTGGATCCCCGGTCTGGACTCCGTCCAAGACAGTGGACACCTCCTCGGGGCCAAACATCACACCAAGTTCGGGGTTGGTGCGGAAGATCTCAGAAGCAGGCACTACGTAGTTGGGCAATTGCGTGCGCTGGTAATTAATCATGTAGGTACCGTCTAAACCCCGCGAGTCAGTTTTGGGTCCGCCAAAAAGAACATGGGAATTGGGTGGGAAACCATACTTGGATTTCTCCGGGTGACGGCGTCGGGCTTTTCGACGAGGTCGACTTGGAACCCCACGTAGAATCGATAGTCGCTGGAATTCCACCGGATGGGGATCATTGTGATCAAGTTCATGAACGGCTGGCCACCTTTCCTATAATTTATGATACTGGCTTGGATTTCTGACCTGTCCTCGATGGTCGATCGCAGGCGGAAGGCAGTGTGCTGGTCGACAAAGGCACGCTGCATGCCTTGTTGGACCACACCATCTGGACCTTGTAGGAAGCGACAGTTCTGACCAACAATCTCGTTTTCCGTATAGCCCGTGAGCCGTTCAAAAGCTTCCGAGACATAGACAATGGGGTGGTCCTCTTTAGTTATGTCACAGAGAACAAATGCGCATGACAAATCGACCGCACCGATGTCAATTTTCGGATTCGGCCGTGAAACTACTTCAGCCTAAAGAACGAACATTAATGAACAAAACACCAGACGACTTTTGGGAACGGAAGGCGAGACGAGAGGAGGAAGGGATGGGGCTTAGGCCTTGTTCTCCGGTAGTCGAGTAATGGGAAGTGGGTTGTGGAGCTTACCAGGACACCCATGATATCAAAGCCGCTATTAGAATAGATACTAGCATATTGCGAAGATTCGCCGCGCGATGCGGACCTGGGATGTGATGTCGACGAGGAAGCTTTATGGTTGTCGATCTCCGCATCAGCCCGGTGCAGCACGTATTTGAGATAGAGTAAACCCACCCTTCACTGGTGACGGCCTCTTTGGTTGAATGAACCGGTGAGAGGACGCGTTACTTGACGATTGTGCGGACGACTGAAGTGTCCGTGGTCGCCTACGTGTGCTTGCTAGCTCGGCAGATAAAAGAGCATTTGCAGGCGTTATAGTGGTAGCGGATGCCGGTTGAGTACGGGGTATTTCGGTAATGTCTGGGGGGTGAGATTGGATTTGGAGTTGCATTTGAGGTTCGACTTGAGGCTGTTGAGCCTGGGATTGTTGAAGCTGGGGCTGTTGAACCTCGTGCTGCTGAGCCTCAGGCTGTTGAAATTGATGCTGTTGAAACTGGGGTTGTTGAGCTTGTGGCTGGGGTGGCTCCCAGTACGTGTTTGGGTACGTCGTGTGAGTTTGCATGGCCGCATACTGCGCCGTCTGGTCCATATTCATCGAATGCGACTGTAACGATCCGAATTGGGCCGCCGAACGGTGTTCCAAGTTTTGACCATGGGTATGGCTAGGGTCCAATGACATGGTGGACGGGAACGAGGAAGGGTCGTAGGCAAATGGATTTCCGGAGGTCATAGACATGGAGAGTGGATCATAGGCAAACATCATGTTGGGCACGCGACCCTCCTGGTAGCCCGTGCGCTGCAGAGGCAAGTTGGATGTTTGATGCTGAAACATAAACGAAGGATTGGTGGCCAGCATATCCGACCTCTGCGGCGGGTAGGAAAAGCTCCCGACCTGCATGTGATCGGGAGCAGTATAGGGCATCATCTGGCCATGTTGGTCGTCGACGGGCCGAGATTGATCCAGGTGTTGGTTCGCCGACGGAGGCATGTAATAATGGGAGTTGTAGAAGTCATCATGGTATCCGTCCATCCTGCGATCGGCCAACTAGCCAGATAAGCACACCCGATCGGTCCGATCCAGGGGAATGGAACCAATGGGGCAGATGCATCCACGCCAGAAGAGGATGGCAAGACGGGGGGATTCCGCCCAAACAAGAATTCTAGCTGTTTGAGAGGAAAACCGAGCTTCCTTCGAGTCCAAAAGCTAGTGGGTTTCCCCGGCGAGCAAAAAAGGTTGGTGGGAGGCAAGACAACCGAAATGAGGTGGGGAAGAAAAAAGGGATCAATTGCGAGAAGCACCAGCTATTCGGGTGCTTAATATAAAGCAATATACGATTGAAAATAGACGGGAGGAGATATAATAATAGACAAAATAAACCAGAGCAAAAACCAAAATCCTCAAGAATTAACGATTTCTATACAAGAGAGGGAGAGGGTATGTGGAAAAATGGGAGAGGGGAGAGAAGGGAAGGAAGAGGAAATGGAGAAAGGGAGCGAGTGGATGGGCGAGAGAGATGGAGACGGTAGAAAAGAGGGCAGACAAGATCCGAGCAATAATACCATTCACATCATCAACATCATTATGACCGAGATCGCGACGGCAAAAAGAAAAGAAAGAAAAAAGTCCCAAGAGGCCGGCTAAGCCCAGGTATACGAATGGAGAGCGAGGACAAGGGGAATGTCACCTGCAAGCGCGGGCCGTCAAAGAAAAAGTGGATATTGTGCCAATCAAAAGGATGCGGGAAGCACCGTTCCCCGGCGATGTGTCAGACGGCGAAAGGGGTTGGTTGATGGCGTTTGTGATGGATCAATTCGGGGCTGGAGTGGAAAGTGGAGAGGGAGAGAAAGGAAGCGAGAGGGAGGGAGGAAGAGAGAAAGAAAGGGAAGGTTGGAAAGTGGAGGGGGTCAAGGGAGAGAGATCAGGTATGTACTCCTATGTATGTACTTCGGTAGTGTCGGTTAGCGATGCAGATCGAATGCAATGACCTGCAATGGTAGACACGAATCTCAATCTGATCATTTCCAATAATAATAATTTCAGGTTTTAAGGATGGACCTGAAAGAGACGGGAGGGGAGACAAGAGAGAGAGAGAGAGAGAGCGAGAGAAGGAAAGAAGGAAAGAGAAAAGACGATGTCGTCATCTGCAAGGAGATCACGTGAGCTCGTCCATATCCAGTAGTCCGTACACCACACCGAGCACAGTTACAGTAGTAAGTCCAAGATCAAGAAGACTACTGGTTTGTCCAGGGACCAAAGAACTCGTGTTGCAGGTTTCCTCCGGGTCGACCCAAACAATGGACTTTGTTTGGCCGTTAAACCATGGATTTCCGTGGCGGATCGAGATAGATTAATGTCCATGATTCAGCCTTCGGGTCTTCCTGCCCAATTTAACATAGCAAACAGTCCTACCTGACTTACCCCTTCCGTAGATTATCTTCAATCCCATTGCTTAATCTTTCTCTCGGCCGTCAGATAACTACTATCTGCTCATCTCATCGGTTCTCTGCCGACATCAACTCCAAACAGGGGGAGGGTCCTCTTTTTTTCCCTGTTATTATACCCACCCTTGCTTTGAAGTTCCACGGATCTCCTTCTCCCGCCTTCTGTCTCTCTCCCTTTCTTTCACCTCGCCTTCTCTTCTTTTTCTTTCCCCCTTTTCATAATGTCTGAATTTCCTCCCGGGGAGATCTAGTCAATTTCATGGATGTTTCATTCACGCTCGTTATCTCGGAGATTGGAAGGGAATCGATCTTCATTCTTTGATCTGCTATCACGCTCGCTCTCTTACAGCGCGCTCTCCCTTTTCCGATTTTACTCCGTACTTTTTGGACCCGTTGAATTGACTCGTTAACCCCCGATTCCAATTCTGAATCAATACCACTATTGAACCTCTTGACTCCTGAGATCGCAATTCATCCGGGGACATCGTCGTCTCCTGTCTTTCTTTTTCTTTTTTTTTTATACATTCCTTAGATTCCTCTTTCGGCTGCTCCACGCGATGGCGGACGCGCCAGATAAAATTTCCATCACAATATGCGGGGACGGTGGATGCGGTATGTTGTATAACGCCCTGAGCATGTTTGCAACTTGGTCCCTGCTCCACTCCTGTCTTACGATCTAGTCGAGTCCGGGATCAGACTGGCAAACCTTCAGCCCTATTGGTCGCGACGACAGGCATCGGCATGCATCTAACATGCCTCCGTAGGAAAATCCTCCATTACCCTGCGCTTAGTCCGATCTCAGTGGATTCACGAGTAAGCAATTTTTCTCGTTGCCCTTTCCGCAGATTCCCGATGGCGCTTGGGCTCTCCTACACTGGAAATCGGCTAACCCCTGACGCGATATCAGATATGATCCCACCATCGGTAAATATAGACCTTCCTGATCCGATCACCTGGCATCGAATCGATCCTTGACATCCCCACCACTTTTCTAACGCCTGGGTTGTTTGTCGCAAATTACAGAGGATTCGTACTCGGTCACACGAACTATCGACGGTCTCCCCTACTTTTTGTCCATCACCGACACGGCCGGCCAGGAGGAATATCGCGGGCTATGGACGGCATCTAACTTGAAGTCCGACGCCTTCCTGCTCGTCTACGACATCACCAACGAATCCAGCTTGAGCGCATTGGACGACTTCATGGAATTGATCAATATCGAAGCGGAACAGCGCGTGGAAGATAACCAGCGTCTGCTGAAGGAACTAGGGGGCGATGCGCAGGGCTTAGACGTGGGCATGCCGCCCCCGATCAAGATCGTGGCAGGGAACAAGTGCGATCTCAAAGAGGGGCGCGTCATTGGCGCGCGGGAGGGTTTGGAGTATGCTCGAAAACATGGATGCGGGTTCATGGAGACAAGTGCTCGAGAGATGGTCAATATCGAGGAGACATTTGCGCGTACGTTCATTTCCGATCTCTAGCTTGTTGCCGAAATAATTACCGGGAAGGAAAGCGAAAGCGAAAGCGAAAATCTAACTTTGTTCTAGTCCTAGTCCGCCGTGTCGTGGAGGCTCGCCGACTTCATTACCAGAGAGGGACATCGGCGACTAATGCGCCACAGCCCCCAGGGCCTTCGACCGAGAAACCGACCGACGCAGCAGCAGCACCTGAAATAACAAATTCCCATCAGCCCAAGGCGAAAAATCTGCGCCACAGCATTCTCGGCATGTTCAAGAAAGGTGAGGAGCCGGCGCACAAGTCTTCAAAGCAGGAGAAACCATCGGATGACCTCAGGCCCAGTATCTGGAGACGCCTATGCTGTCGTGGTTAGTAACTGGATGGCTTGATTGGTCTCGTTCTTGTTTGTTTAATGTCGGTGGATGTTTTTATTTCATATACCCTTCAGGATTGAGTGTACGGATTTATTTATATTTTATGTATCTATATTGCCTGATTTCTGTCTAATAAAAATTTCTAAACCCCCACAGTAAAATAGTGATCAATAATAGTTCAACTTCGGGGTTACAGAAACCATTACAAATTGTGGTGAGGCGTTCAAACGGCGAAGTAACTTTCCTCGGAACAAGGTTGAATGATGAGGTCATACACATGCAAGAGAAGCTCTTATCAAGCCAAGGAAAACAAGAGGTTTGCCTTATCGCCGTTCAAGAACGAACCTTCCCTGCACCGAACCACTTGTTCCAGGCTAACCAACAAGAAATCAAGCGAATCGAAACGGAGCACAGTAGTACTAAAGTACTAGAAGTGTAGCAGACATCCCAATCCAGGACCAGTTCTCAAGTCACGGTGGGTCGATTTCTCATCAAGCATACGGGATGACGCTATTCGTATTATGCGATTTTTTCGTCTTCCCCCGGGGCCATCGGGGTCTAGAGCATCCCTGCGTCCTACGCGTAGCCTGATGTTTCGGTGATTCGGCCAGGTCGAGCGAGGAAACTAGCACAAGGCACCGTTTACGGAAATGTGAATTAAGGCACCATAAAAAAATCATTGCCGAGTCATACTCCGTAGTATGGGGCAATTCAGAAACCACTTCCAAGTTTCTGACAAACTATTAATGTAGGATTTGACACAGCTTGGCGACGGCGTTGACCTCGGTGCGCCAGTCCTTGGGTCATGGATCGTTAGATATCGGGGGGGTTGAAATCATATCCTGAGGGCAAAAGGCGATCATCTATGGATCGTGGTGTAAGAAAAAGGAAAGACGAGGGAAGCAAGACGATCCTGAAACGAGAAAGCATGATCTACCCGCACCCATGGGAGCCATCGCACCACCGGCGTCAGGGTTGATCTTCAGGGCTTGCTGAGTAGTGAGTACTGAGTCTACTGACTACTGAGATAAAGCAAACTATAGCAATCCCACACAGTACAGAATACTTATTCTAGTCGAGAGAGAATGAGGGGGAAGATAAGCATCAACGTCATGAAACATCAGAAAAGGCATAGTCAGCGGCATCGACAAGCCGGGGCTGATATAGTACCCCGTTTAGATGCATAGCATAGACCAGCATACTGTCCGTCACATCGAGCCAAAATCTGACGCCGTTTATAGCGTCAGGGATTGAAAGGAGGCCGGACTAGCGTTAAGCTTTCGAGAAGAATCGTCCGAAATTCCGAATCACATCCAGGCTCGTGATCCGTTTCCAGGGACATGAGCGATTAAATTTTTTTTAAAATCGAAATCGAAAATTCTCTCGCCGGGGCCAGGATGAAATCCAAACTAGTGCCAAAGCGACTAGACGCTCCGTCGCCGTTCGGCCTGCGTTTGCCGACGGATAGGAAATTCGGAGGCTTTCCCTTCGTTGCAGATTTTTGTACAGACGGGGGTTATGCCGTAATGCCGAGCTATGCACGTCTGAGCTGACATTGGCGTTTTGGCGATTGATTATTTGATTGATTTGTAGCATTAGATAATAATCATGATTAGTGATTAGTGCTCGGTCCTGCCTGCGGTCAACCGCCCCCCCCCCCCTTCCGTCTGAACGTGGGATCGAAGATTAATCATGATGATTCTAGATGACGCCGCGGACATGCATCCTTCGTGTCTAGTAATGGTGTACTGTACTATGAAACCTCCCCTTCACGAGGAGACATAGATCAGACTGGAAAAGTTTCTGGACGGAATCGACGTGAACCCACTCGGATATACGGCTCCAATCTGAGCAGGTTTCGATCCGAGTCCACAAAACCTTAATGGACAGGGTGGAATTTATGAGTCAATAACGTGAAGTCAGTGAGAAAGGAAATGAAAAAAGGAAAAAAGAAAAAGAAAAAAGAGCAGATTGCTGAATGAGGAAATCTCAAATCCCACACCAGCTCCAAGGCTAGGGATGTTGGCACCTCCGAGGTCCGAGCCAAGGCTCCGACTGCCAGCTCCGTTATCCGTACACCGTACGGAGCTGGTATCGTTACGGGTCACCAGGGCCTCGTATATTCCGGTCCTGTCAGGTATGGTACATACCTTAGGCTCTGTAGGTAGTAGGTAGCTACCTAGGTTTACTGTAGGTATCCTGACCGCTGTTCTTCATTTCATTGATGCTTTGTTCAGTAATATTATTTAGGTAGATACGTGTCTGCTAAATCACTGGTCAGATTGAACAGGAAGTGAGTATTGATCAAAAGTCCCTGGTATACCTAGTATTATCCGTCCAAGCTGCTCCCAGAGGTCCCCGTCAGTTGGGCCTCTCTCGGCTAGACGGACAGACACCGACCTGGATGGCGTACGGTCACAGTCAGGCCAGCACAGCTTGTACGGTACATGGTACGGTATCGGTACCAACAACTCCACCAGCATTACCTTAGCTAAGCCAATGATCTCCATCAGACGGACTCCATCGTCCATAATAATATTTAATATTTTAATTCATATTAACTAAAACGAGAGTCCAGCTGGAACTGCCTGCCTCAGCATTACTGACTGCTGCCAGAGTATTAGTGATGGGGACCGAAAATAAAAATAAAAATAAAAAATAATCCTAACATTTAATCCCGATAAAATAAAATAAAGAATTACCCTCCTCCTCATAAGCTTCAATTAGTTAAAAAGCACCGGCTCCCTCGTTCTCCTTCCTCCTTGACTTGACTCTCTTACTTCAGCGGTTACTCACCATCTTCAACCACTGCAACCTTCCCAGACCCGGTTTCTTGGGTCCATCCAGCTGCTACTTATTCATTACCCTTCCATGATCTAATGCACCCTTTCGCTCGTCGATTTTAAACCTTGTGCCTTAACCTCCCCGACATCGTTGGATCATCGAACCAACCTTAAACCGTCTTGTCGATCATCGGCGCTGACAACACCACGAGAGAGACCTTTATAACTTACACGCCCCCTAACCCGTGGAACCTTCTTGGGGAAAACCTTCTCCTAATTCTTTTTGAATTCATCAATATATATCTCACTCCTGTTCTATACTTCGGCTGCGGGATTCTTTCTTTGGATTGTTGGTGTTGCATCCGTACATACTACCCATCTATATACAACGCCACCTCGGCCTACATACATCGATTGTCAGCATGACAGCTCGCCAAACGTCACCCTCGTCAGACCACTCCCACTCGGACAATAATGTCCGCAAGAGGGTCTGCAAGGCTTGTGATCGGTGTAGACTGAAGAAATCCAAGGTAAGCAACGGCCACGGCCCAATCATTCGCATCAGCGCGTTCTGATGCACTGACCCGGTGCAGTGTGACGGAGGCAATCCTTGCGGTCGGTGTAAGGCGGACAATGCCATCTGCGTCTTTGGCGAGAGGAAGAAGGCTCATGACAAAGTGTACCCCAAGGGGTGAGCTTGCACCTTGCTGTTGCTGTTATTGTTTTTCAACGACTTTGGGAGAATGTCGTCGCGCTAACTCACTGCTATCACTAAACAGATATGTTGAGATGCTGGAGCAACAACAAGCGTGGCTAGTACATGGTCTGCAAGAGATGTATCGCCGCACCAGCGAAGGCGAAGGGTGGCCCGGCGAGCCCTTGAAATGCGAACCCAACGGCCACCCGCTCACTCACGATCTGCTCACCCGGTTGGGCGCCTTGGATCACCACAAGGGCGAACACTTCGAGGAAAACCCGGATGTAATGCAGCAGGACCTGTGGAAGCAGAACGCAGGGCACATGCAGCGCCAGGACTCGTCTGATGGCAGTTCCGAACCCGCACAATCTCCCGTCGTACCGTCGCGCTTCTCCGACGCTTTCTCTCGACCGATGCCGCCCTCGCCGTCCACCTTCAGCCCGTCGTCGCGAACGCAAGGACCGACGATCAAGTCGGAGCCGCAGATGACACCCAACAACCCGGCCTTCGTGGCGCCGCTGGCAATGCAAGGAGTGGTGAATCCCGTCGCATTGCAAGCGCCGCAGCAATGGAACAATAACTTCGGGGGATTTGATGAGATGGATCTGATGGCAACGCCCGATTACTCGAATTTCTCATTTGACGACATGTCGTCGCCCATGTTCAACCGTCAAATACCAATGAACTGCATGGTCCCCTCGTCATATATGGACACCAAGAACGACTACGAAGACATCAGCCAGTTCTTAAATGCGAACGCGCCGGAGATCGCCTCCACTTGAGCTTTGATCAGCAACCCTATCTGCTTACGCCGTTTGACGTGATGCATGTATAAGTATACATGTTACTTTCTTCTCTTCTTTCTCCTCTTATCATTCTATCACTTATACTTCTTTTTTCTTATTCAAACGGCGATTTTATTTCCGGCATGGGGAGTGACGGGGTGATTACGGAATTGTACAGTGTGTCTATTTTGAAGGGTTGGGAACGCTGTCGAGTCTATACTAGACAGTCCCCTTGAGGCGTTCGGGAGCAGGATCTCAAAACCAAAGTCTGGAACCATGGAGTTATTGGAAGGTGATTTTTGAACTATTCTATCTGTTATTCTTTGGCGAATACTTTTTTACTTTTTGCGATGATATTTTACACCGGTGTCTGGGCTGGGGGATAGATATCACCATTACACCATATCATCCAATATCATGATTCATACTTTCTGCAGCACATGCCCCTTGAGCCATGGTACATATTTATCTTACAGCCCAGCCGAGCTTTGACCGATCCAGGACCGTCTAGACGGCGGACGAATTTGTCAGGACGTTCCGAGGCCGATGACTAATCGGATGGGCGAGCGAAAGTCAAGTCCGACGCCCTCGTCTTATCTCCGGGCCGCCGCGCGAATGATGACACCTTCACCCCCTTCTCGTCTTCGTCATGACACGTCGAGTTGAACTCACTTGCGCTGATCGGATTCTGACTTCATCTTGGTTGTTACTTTCTATTCAGGGTTCAGGGTTTCAGAGTGCAATGTTTCGATCCTTTCCAGTCTCCCATCATGATGGTCATCTAAATCCAAATGGCGCCCCCTGGTCCTTTCCCTCGTTCTGACTGGGGCAGCGAGATGAAAAGAAGGAGGGTCCAGACTCCACTCCAGATACGACCGGATCAGAGGTCAGGAATCCACCGTCAGCCCAAGCGAACTAGTTAGTCGTTCTCGTGGAATGTTCTTCCCTGATTCAAAAAAGAACCCCGACGAGTCGGCGGCCCAAGAAAGGAAAAAGAAAACAAAAAGAAAGGGCCCCATAAGTCCATAAGTCCATAAGTCCATAATTCCATAATTCCGTGACTGTCAAAACTGGCCGAATGCCGACTCCCCGACGGTAGGAAACGAGGCCAACAGCTACCAGTACCCTACAACAGCCCAACAGGACAGCGCTACACAACTCCTGCGGTAACTGTTAAGCCGATCGGAGTTCCGAGAGTTGGCCTTAAACCGGAAGGGGAATCCAGCCTGTTGTTAACTTGTTCGTTAATCGTTTCCCTCCGGATTACGGCAGAATCCAATAAGCACTGATTCAGTGATTTCAGTTTCAGTCATGGAGTAAATAATAATGGGTAATGGATCTCCGGCCATTTTAGGCCATTTCCTTGTTTGGGATTTTTTATTTCCTTTTATTTCCTTGTCTTCTTGGAGATCCATTATTTTCCTTCTCCCTTCTTCATCTTCTTGGTCTTCCAACGCCTCCTGCCCCCCTGGTCGTACTCGTATCCAGCGACGCTTGTAATTTGCCCGAACTCCTCTCCTCATTATCTATAGAGTAAAATAGTTGAACTCACCTAGACATAGAAGAACTTGTTCTCAGTGCAGACACTACTCAGTACAAAGGATATACTTCAGACGTACGGTGTAGTAAATTTCGGTAACGGGGACCCATGTAGAGAGTCCTGAGTCCATCCAGAACAAAAGTGGGCTTGGTAATCGTTGGTAATCAACTCGGAGACTTTTTGTTTCTGTCTTCCTTTCTTTCATTTTCTTTTTGATTTTTCACTGTTTCGTTTCATGCTCGAAGGCCAGCTGCTTTGATAAGCGGACACGCCCCCCAGTCAGTCTAGATTTTTTTCTTATTGACTATCCTTTGTAAGAGTTTCTCAGGCATCAGCGTGCATGATGCATGAAGTCATCTGGAAAGGATTAAGGATTTTTACCTATGCTGTTTTCAGCTATCGAGCTACATAGGTTAGATGTATAGATAACATACCGTACATGTATGTATGTAAAATAAGAATACCAACCTCCGCACCGTGTAATGCACATGCAAATCGCTGCACATTTCCCAAGAAGGTAAGCTAGTATGTATACTTACGCCTCCGATCTGTCAAACACCGAAAATTAAGGTATCTATTACCACATTTCTTTCTTATAATATTAAGTTAATAACCCACGAAGTATGTCACACGGGATGCCGGGTCTTATTACGTAGATCGTAGCTACCTAGCCACAAAGCCCAGGAAGGCGGAGTTAACTATCCACAACCAAAAGTCGGCAATCAAGATGAGGACCATAGTAATCAGAAGGATTCTAAGAAAGCCCAATGTGGCCGTCGGGCTCGGCGCCGGGGCGAGCGACCTCCGCGGACACCGATCCGAGAGAACAAGGCCTTGGGGCCTGGGAGCCTTGCACGAATGGATCGTCCGGGTCACATGTATCTTGTCCTCCGCGGAGCATCCATCTACTGTGTATGTACACCCTAAGTTAACTAAGTTACCCTCGACACTGTTAGGTAACATAATGGTCTGAGAGAAAATTGTACACATGTCCATACAATTAGGGCATTCTTATTACTCAATACATTCATACAAAACATACTTCCATACATACCTACGGTATACTTTCCTATCCCTGATCCTTGAAACTCTGGGGTATAATTCGGAGACCGTCTGGGGCTCAAGAGGAGCCTTGGATATGTAACTATTAACTAACTAACTAGTGCCAGTGATTAGTTAACTAACTATTGTTTACTACCTATTATGTAACGAGAGAGTAGAGAGGGTATATACCCCTGACCGGGCACGGATTAGCTTTTCCCCTCCTAAAAGACACCTGATATGACAGACTGCCTGAGGCATAAGCCACCCCGGAAGTTTACCCTTTGGGGTAATTGTCAAGTGGGCAGAACAGCAACAGAGCTTCAACGGTGTAAACATCAGCCAAAACACGGGGTCAATGTCTTAGAGTAAGAGGACTTGAGGATCAAGGACCGGAAAAATTCTCGTCGACCCGCCAGTCTGCCAGAGTATCTAATCTGCCACGAACGGTTAAATGAGAGAGAGCTTCAGTCTTGCTATTAGGCTAATATCTCCGGAGCGGATTGCGGGGTAGCAATTAAGTCACTACCCCTCGTTTTGTTTTTTTCCCCTTCGCTCTCTTCGTCTCTATTATATTCACTATTATCCACACTCTGTTCCTGCTTCTGACTTCTTTTTGAGCTCACACACATACACAGGACTCAATACTCACGCTGCCATTGACATTGAATCCAACCTAAAACACCTCGCCGCACTACCACCATCATGGCTCAATTCCCTTCCGTCAAATTCACCTCCCTGGGCGCCATCATCCAGGAACTCAACGTCGCTGGCCAAAACATCGTCCTGGGCTTCGCTAGGAAGGAACACTACGAGAAATACAACGCGCCCTGGTTCGGCGCCACGATCGGTCGCGTGGCCAACCGCATCAGGGATGGCAAGATCAACAGCCTCAACAACCAGTCGTACGAGCTGGAGACCAACGATGCCCCCAATGCCTTGCACGGTGGCAGCCAGGGATGGGGGCGACGAGACTTTGAAGGCCCCTACTTGGTGCGCCGCAACGAGAAAGATGCCCTGCTGTATACCTATCGGAGCGAGCACCTCGAGGCTGGATATCCCGGGACGGTGGAATTGAGGGTCTTCTATACGACGGATGAAGAGGTCGATGGGAACGCCACTCGGACGGTGCTGTCCATTGAATATGAAGTCGAATTGGTGGGGGATGAGTGTGACGAGACGGTGATCAACGTGACGAACCACAGGTAAGGAGCGCCTATCAGTGAAGATGGATGATTCTACAGATTGGTAGTTAACCTGATCGGAGTTTCTAGTTACTTCAACCTGAGCGGCGACGAGACCTTCGACGGAACCTCGGCAAAGCTCTCGACCCAGGACTACCTGCCGCTGGACAAGACCGGTATCCCCTCGGGCACGGTCGAGGCCTATCCCCGCGGAGTTACCTCGCCGTTCACCATCGGTCCAAACCAGCCCGCCTTCGACGACGTGTTTGTCATGGACCGCGACGTTGCAGGGATCCGCCTGGACACGCGCGAGCAGCCACTGAGATTGCTGGCCGAATTCCGCCATCCGGGTTCGCACATCAACCTGCAGGTCTATAGCACCGAGCCCGCGTTCCAGTTCTACACCGGCCAGGGCACCGACGTGCCCGCCGTGGAGGGCAATCCTGCCCGCAAGCCCTTTTCCGGGTTCTGCATCGAGCCTAGTCGCTTTGTCAATGCGATCAACGAGCCCGATTGGCGCCACATGGTGGTCTTGAAGAAGGGCGAGAAGTACGGCAGCAAGGTCGTGTACAAGGCCTGGAAGGATGCGCAATAAAGTACCGGCTACGGAGTACACAGTAATGGTCTGACCGGTCGATGGGTTTCAATTACTATGTTTCTTTTATACTTGGCTATGACCAATCAGTTAATCTGGAACCGATCTCTTTGCATCTAGGCACGAGAACCATGAGTTAGCGAATTTATTTTTATGTTTGTGCGGGCATTTTCCGCTCAGAGAGCAGAAACCTGGAAAACCGGAGTAAATCATCCGATATTGTATCAGCTGATGGGCCGATTATCCTCCAAACCCGTGCCATGTATCCGATGTGGGCCTGAGATGGAGACCAAGTCGGCGACTTGATTACTATTTATCATTGAAGCGGTTAGTCCATCCAGCACACTTTTCCACAGGACCAGACTGTGACTGTCACATCGTTTGAAGAAGGGAAAAAGCAGAAATTGGATGCTCCTGCGTCATCATCCTCGGCAGGAGGGGGAAAATCGCTCATGCTCTTGGTTCCTGAATCGCCAAGAATTTCTCGAATGCAGCTATTGTTTCTAGGGTCTTGGGGTTAGTCTCCCCGTCGATATCAAAGACGGGGGATTCTAGGGTTTATCGAGTGAAAGGAAGGTCTGACGAGAGTACGGAAAAGCCTCGATACGGCAAGTAAACCCTGTCTGTAATATTACCGTACGAGGTTACGAATACGCCAACCATACCAGGAACAACGGGTATCGGGAGCGGCGTCACGTTCTGTCACAAATACACCGGAACGGAAGGGCAAAAAGCTTGGCAATGACAATCGGTTTTCTCTCTGACATAATATTATAAAATATGTGAACATTGCAACATAACTAACACTAGCTAACTAACTAAACCATGCAGTGTCCCCCTTTTCTTCCCCGCATATCGTTCCATGCACTAAGTGATAGGTATATTCTTGTCTCTCGAATCGCAACTTCATAATATTAATGTCAATGGCCCTTTAGACCGGGGATACCCATCTCCGGCGTCCTGGAAAGATGGGACCATCGGATCCCCTCTGCTAGACGACGGGACGCCTATGGAGTACAACGAATCCTGCTGCCTGATCGCGAGGCAGTGTTGAGTGCATTGTCCACGTAGTCGTAGACAGATGCGCTGCGATGGCCAAGGCTGTGCTCTCGTCTTCGTATTCGGAGTTCGTTGTTCGGGGGGTCTGGGCAACGTTCAAATCTCAAGTCAACACTCCGTAACAATTCATACTTCGATCCGATATGTCGCACGTGACATCGCGGAACCTCCCGAGGGCGTTCGGTGCCCCGCGCGGGGGAAGAAGGGAAGGTTGATCTCTCGAATATCGTCCTCCTTGACTCATCAACATCCTCTCGGATTCCTGTTTTAACACCCCCAATAGCTCAATGGCTTCTCAGTACGGCGACCTGCGGCACCTGCTGCCACTCAACTACAAGAGCCTGATCACCTCCTGGCTGGAGGAGGACTGTCCGAGCTTCGATTATGGCGGCTTCGTCGTGGGGGAATCACAAGGAGAGGCTCGTCTGCTGGGGAAAAGCAAGGTATATACACTCCCTATTAGCGAACCTCCTAGTCTTCTTACCTGACCCTCTTTCTACCGTGACGAATGCACCTGCTAAATGAATATCTCGGCTTAGGGTATCGTGGCCGGGGTGCCTTTTTTCGAAGAAGTCTTTTCCCAATTAGGATGCACGTAAGTCCGATCCGCTAGATCTATATGTCCCTTGGCATATATGCACGTCCAATCTATACTCTACAATCTACAAGGAAGCACTGGTTTCCAGAACCAACCCGGCTAACCCCCGCAAACAGAGTGGAATGGCACATCCAAGAAGGCCAACCCATCTCCGCCAACACCGACGTCACCCACTGCGCCACCGTCCGCGGTCCCATCCGCAAGATCCTCCTTGGCGAGCGCGTTGCCCTGAACATCCTCGCCCGCTGCTCCGGCATCGCCACTAAGAGCGCCTCGCTCGTCTCCGCCCTTCGCTCCCACGGCTGGACCGGTACCCTGGCCGGCACCCGCAAAACCACCCCGGGCTTCCGCGTCGTCGAGAAATACGGCATCCTTATCGGTGGCGCCGATCCGCATCGCCACGACCTTAGCCATATGACCATGCTTAAGGATAACCACGTCTGGGCCTGTGCGAACAACTCGGCTGCGAGTGATGGCGGCGCCGGTACGGAGTCGGTGGCTGCGGCAATCCCGCGCGCGGTGCGGGCGGCGAAGGCGGCCGGTGGCTTCGCGACGAAGGTCGAGGTCGAGTGTCGCAGCTTAGAGGAGGCGAATGCGGCGATCGGGGCGGGGGCGGATGTTATTATGCTGGATAATTTCACGCCTGAGGGCGTGCGCGACGCTGCGAGGCAGCTCAAGCAGCAGAATGCGGCGAACGGCGGCAAGCATTCCTTCCTGATTGAAGTCAGTGGCGGGTTGAATGAGAGCAATGCCGCTTCGTACGCTTGTCCGGACGTGGATATTATCTCGACAAGTTCTATCCACCAGGGCACGGGGATCGTGGACTTCTCTCTCAAGGTTTCGCTGCGGTGAGAGTTATATACTGCTTACTGGGTGTCATTGGAGAATGAAGAGAGAGGGAGGGAAAAGAACTCGACGTGAAAGTGTTACGACGAAATGTATATCTGTACCATGTATGTACGTGTCCATTCAGCTATGTATGCAACCTGACACTATTCTACCGGTGTAAGAATGACGAACATCAACTGACTGAAGTTGGTTTTCTCAACGATGCCTCTGTGTGTGTATATATATATCCACCCAAGAAGATCATCTGTCCAAACGAGCATTCGTAGACATCACTATCCAGCACTCAAGCCGGGAGGCCTCAATAATAATAATAGACATCGAAACGGCCAAACAAAACGCAAAAGACCGAAACTAAAGGGTATATGGTGTATGCAAGAACAAGAACAAGCAGGCGAACACGCAAATAAACAATAGGTGAAGGATGCCGGAGACGCACGTAAGCCAATGGGTGGACATGGCGAATCAAGAGCCCCCATCACAGGTTGGGTTTCTTAGACCTCAATATCGACATAGATGCCCTCGCCTTCGCTCGAGCTTGGTTCATCGTCCCGGTGACCAGCATAGTTTTCGTCTGATGCTTGGGTCCTCCCTAGTTTGTGTCCTCGGGTATCATCGGCGGATGGCCCGGCCGCAATGGCTTTCTGCGCGTATTGTCTTTCCAACTGGGCCCGGAGCCTCTCATTTTCCGCGTCGCGCTCTTCGAGTCGCTGTCGCGCCCCGCTCCGATCTGCTAGACGTGCCTCTCGCTCAGCCTTCAGCCTCTTCTCGAGTTCGTGCAAACGACGCATCCACTTCTCGTTCCCTGGATCGTTTTGCGTAGGTCGGGACCGGGAGCCGTGAACCATGGCCCCAGCGCCCTCCGCTAGAGTCGTCGTCGAGGACAAATGAGATGGCTGAGGAATACCGGAGGTGGAGCTGCGTGCAAGTCCCCGCGATGCGTGAGGTTGCGAAGGATTCTCGACCGTCGAGTTGTGGCGGACCAAAGAGGACGGGGCTTCTGCATCGGACTCGACACTTCGATTGCGCGTAGGTGACCGTGGGGAGGGAGACGCCATGCCTGCAGCGACGGCGGCGGCCGACGTCGGGACGCGAATGCGCGAGTGAGGCTGCCGCAGATTCAGCTCGGCCTTGAGAAGTCGATTCTCGCCCCGCAGTCTGGCCAACTCCGGCGACATGCCCGTTTGACTCTGACTGTACCGTTGCGCGCGCATATTCATCATGGACTCCTCCATGCGCTCCACCCGCTTGAATCGCACGCTACACGCATGCTCCAAAACCTGGTATTGCTTGGCCAGCTCCCGCTCGACCCCCTTGATGCGGCTTTTGAAGCTCGAAATCACCGTCTCCACGGTCTTGACCGCAAGCATCATATTGCGACTGAATCCCGGCCAGAAAAGGATGTTGCCGATGACCTCTTGACTGGGGAGATTTCCATTGATTAAGCTATTGGAATGCGCCCAGTCCGGTCCGCACATGGCCGATAGCCGCTTCCAGATGGTCAGGAGCATTGCGTTTCTCTCACTGAGTTGGTCCCTGAACTGTTGCTCCAGGTTAGTGAACCGCTTGCGATCCTGGTTACGGGCACTCTCCAACTCCGAGATGCGAGAGTTACTCTGAGTGATGGTCCGCGATGCCTGCTGATGCGATTTGAGCGATTGTTCAAATGATTGCTTGTCCGCCCGCCGCGCGACACGCTCGTGGTCGAGGATTTCGGATAGTTTCTTGGTCTCTAGGGCATGGCTTTCAAGCAGCGCATCGCGGTTGCGCAACAATGACTCCGTCTCGTCTAGCTTGGAGCGGACGCTTTCAAGCTCTAGAGCGGTAGATTCGAATTCCTTTTGTAATTTTGTGATACTGGAGATCAAGCTGGACCGGCTGCCGGTCAGGTCACCCAGGGTTTCTCGAAGGTTGTTCTCCAAGTCCATGAGCCGATCCCTCCAAGTGGTGGTTTCGATCTCTTGCACCGACAGACTCTTCTTGAGTCGCCGAGCTTCCTCCTTGGCTGCGAAGGCCTCGCGGTTGAGTTCGTTCACGATTCGCTGCACCTCCTGTTTTTCCTTGCTCCCGACGACCTCACGCTGATGTCTCTCCTCCGCGAGGCGCTCTTCCAGTTCCCTGGTCTTTTCTTTCTCGCTCTGGAGACTCATGCCGTACGTCTTGAGATCTGATTCCAAGTCGCCGATCTTGATCTTGTCGCCGTCTTGCTCCTCTCGTAAGAAGGCGATTTCGTTCTGGCTGGATTCGATTTGGACCGTGAGACGCTGGACCTTTGTGTTTGCTTCGTAAAGACTCTTCTCTAGCGACTCCATCTCCTGGTTACAATGCTCAAGCTCCTGTTGGACAGCTTTGTACCGATGCAAGTTGTTTTGCGCATCTTCTTCAAGTCGTATGATGCCTTCGCCCGCCGAACGCATCTCGGCTTGTAAGGTTGCAAGGTTCTCCTCTTGTTTATGTAGTGCTTCCTCCAGCTGCTCACACTCGCCGCTCTTCTGGTCAAGATCACTACACAAAAACTCCACCTCCTGTTGATACTCACTTCTGAGGTTTTCGAACTCAACCTCACGTGCCCTTAACAACTCATTGAGGTTATTGTGTTCTTCAATGATCTGATCACGTTCCTGGATGACTTCATTACGTTCCTGGAGGAATTCATCACGTTCCTGCTCCGTAGCTGATATTATCTCTTCGGCTTGATCCATCTCTTCCCCGTACTCCTGTTCAAGGGTTTGAATGTTTCGGCGGGTTTCGTCCAGCTCCGATCGTAGATTTTGGTTCTCAATTTTGAGCCCGGACAGCTGATCACGCAGCTGTCCGTTTCGAGCCTCCAGATCCTCTCGCTCGGCGTCGTCGTCCGGTGATGGCCCAGTCCTGTCACTGGCCCGCGAGGACGATCTTCCATGAGCCCGGGACGCTGATCGATCAAAGATGCTATCGCCGGTGACCGATCGCCCGCCGTCGCGCCGCTGGCCAAGTTTCATCTCCTCGATTTCCTGGTATAGCCGTTCTTTTTCCTTGTTGCGGGATGTCAGCATAGAGGTCTGAGCGCTGACCTCTTTCCTTAACTCCGCATTCTCTTGTTTCAACAATTCTAGCTCCACAACCAAGGTTGAACTAGAAGAGCTACCAGTAACTGTATGGCGGAAGTCTCTATCTGAGGGCGCTGAATATGAGGCCGTCGAGGCGACTCGATCCCGTTGTCCTGATCTTGCAGGGACCATTGCCAAGGTCATCTCACTCCTCAAGCGTAGGGCCTCATCCCGTAGTCTCTTATTCTCATCTTCGGCTTGTTCCCGGGCTGCCGTCTCCGCCTCAAGCATGTCCTTCCACATATCCTGTAACATAGTGTCTTAGCACAAGAAACGACGAAAACTATAAGTGAACGTAGACTGGGGGATTGAAAACTCACCCGTTCCTCCCTTGCACCCACGTCCGAGCCCATCGGCCGCCCGTCACTTAAGGATTTGACCATCTCGGCAAGTCTTCTCTTCTCGCTCTCTCTAGCGATGCTTTCAGACCTCAACCGCTCGATCTCCAGCTCGTAAGTCTCCACCCTCTCCCGCAGATAGAGCATTTCGCCGTCTTGCGCCGGGTCGCGATCTTCCTCGTCCGAGCCTTCCGGGTCATGATTGACCATAGATTCCTTGTCAGATTGTTGATCATTCAGCTGCTTCTCTAGATCGCGCATCTTCCTCTTCAGCTGCTGGTTATCCTTCTGCAATTTTAGTTTGTCAGATTTCAGTTCGACGTTTTCCGAAATCATTTCCTTGATTCCTTCCTCTGAGCGTCGATTTAGGGCCTCATTGAGAAAGTGAATACGCATCTTCAGGTCAAAATTCTCCTTTGAGAGCCGATCTATGGTGCTACTTTGCTCCTTTAGGGTCATGGTCCGACCGCTTTTTGCAAAGGCGGGCGTAGCACCCGCACGCTTATCGGGAGACAGCCCACGGCCACCGTAATCTTCTCGAAACTGCCGCACAAATGTGCTCGGGACTTGTACATCCTTGACACGCTCCGCAAGAGCGGTATCTGTAGGGAAGCTATCATCATGGTGTTTGGCCCTTGGTGTTATTGGGTCCGATGTATCTTCCGCTGGTGGCTGAGGGGACTGTGAATATTGTTCCTGGTAGCCGTGGAAGTACGGTTGTTGCTTGTGCTGCTGAGGGTAGGATGATCCAGGTCGTGACTGGGGATCTTCCTCGTCCAGAGTATGCAGTCCACCCTCCGTAATACTATTGGGATTTCTCTTGTCCAGGAAATTTTCATCGCTATAGCCAGAAATACCAGACGCCATGCTGCCCAGGCTTACCGATCTTGCTAGGTTGTTTCGTTGCCCCGACTGACCACTGGGATTTGTCGGCACAGCGCCTCCTGATTGAAGAGCATAGTCAGCGCCTAGTGTGGCATCGCTAGCTGTCATTTCTGTGTTGTAGCTTGCTGCTGAAGAATATGAAAGTCGATGGGCTGAGTGGCGGTTCGTCAGGTATTTCGGTCGGTCACCCCTTTGACTGTTGGTGCGCGATGCAGCTTCAGTGTCATTGCCATTGCTGTTTTGTGAGGTCTTGGCTTGTGTGGGTGACATGCTTCGTGAGGTGGCCCTAGTGTTGTGATCTTGCGGCTGCAGTGCTTGGTCCAGGTTGGGCACAGATGACATCTCCGTTGACTCGTCAAGGGAAGTTTGGCTATTTTCGCGAGTATCCTCAGAGACAATGGATTGATTCCGATTCACGGTCCTCGCCGCCGCTTCGGCTGCAGGAGATGAAGGAATCATCTCCAGCATGGTGGTATTATCTCCTTGTCGATCAGATGACGCTGCAGGTGTAGTTTCCAAGTCGACTGTGTTGTCATCCTCGGGTCTTAAATTAGGGGTGTGTGGTATCGAAACTCCATCGTTCGGCCAGGCCATGTCGCGACTAAATTCTTCGTCAGGTGCCACGAGGGATAATTCTATGTTGTCCAGCTTTGTAGGTTCCGGCGCGTTCTCAACAGGGACCCCGACCAAGTAT